CAACGCCTGGATAAATTAACCTTTAAGTTTTAAGAAAGAAAACAAAAAAACTACATTTGTCGTTTACATTGTTGTATTGTGACTGGCCAGTGTGCCGTATTTTAATTTAAATTAATTAATATTATTTAAAAAAAACGATTTAAATTAAAAAAAAAACAACTGGCGGTTAATAAGGCAAATGATGTAGAGTTCATATTTTCTATGATTTAGAGCAGTAAAGGGATTATGTGGTCAGTTCTGTGCCCAGCTTCCTTTATTTTCCTTAAATCCACTACTTATCTAAGTTGGCTCTACTCAAGCACGTTTTACGGATTCGAGCCCTGGATCGAAATAGAGTCCTTGCAAATACGTGACCTAAATCACGTGATACCTACGCCCGCCGCCACAGTGGTGTACATCAGACGTAAACACAATCAGCTGTTCGCCAGCGCTGGACGTGTTCACCAGCGCTGGACGTGTTCACCGTATGTAAAGAATCGCGCCCGCGGAAAAGGAAAAATATGTTAAAAAACTTGAACTCTTAGGAATTGAAGATCCTTATACAGTTATTGACAGTTTCGTGGATAATATAAAATATATATAAATATATGAACACGTCCAGCGCTGGCGAACAGCTGATTGTGTTTACGTCTGATGTACACCACTGTGGCGGCGGGCGTAGGTATCACGAACGGACGTGACGTCATATGAAAGGACTCTATTCGTAGACTTCCGGGTTGGCAGTTATACGGTCCCCGCCCCTTATTCCCCCCCCCCCCCCCCAACCCTCAAACATGCCCTAACGTAACAATAGGTGTACAAATCAGAGTAAAGCTTTAAAAATAATGAACAAATCCTGCTTAAAAATTTTTTTTTTAAAAAGTTAGGTACATGCACATGCTAACATGATCCACTACCACTAAAATATAGGCCCAAGTTCAACACCACCCATCCCATTTTTCGACACGGAACAATTACTTCATCGCCGAATAATCTGTTTTGCCCCGGGTAGGAAGAATAAATTAACCCTAGGTTACAACTTAGCCCTTATAAATACACAGACCTACCTGTTTTAGTCAATTTCACCAACATGAAGCGTATCTCAGTGTTTGCTGTGCTGGCTGTCATTGCAAGTCTGCCTTACATTTATTGCGCTAGCGGTAAGATTTGATAGTTTATCACTAGTTTGCATATATATATATATATATATATATATATATATATATATATATATATATATATATATATATATATATATATATATATATTAAACATATATGGGGGAGGTTTGGCTGCTTACCATTCTCTTGCCTGTATTTTTAGAGAAAGCGACTGTCTTTAACTACGGCATAGTTAATTTAGTTACGTTAAAAAAGGCGCTCACTTGTGTGCAGTGTTTCTTTTAATCTTTTTTTCTCCGGGGTGGGGGGTACTTGATATTTTAAGGCAGGGGAGGAATAAATTTTTTAAGGGTGTGGGGGGGGGGGCGTGCTCTAATAAAAGTATATTTTTATATAACTATTAAATTTTATTTGGATAGAGGGGTGAAAGTGCGGCAGACTTTTTCCGAAAGATTGGGGAGGGGGGGGGGGAGGGGTAGAGATGAAAGAGATGCCTAGAAGAAACTCTGCTTGTGTAAGCTTGATGCCTTTAACTTACTCAATAAAGAACAACCATAACAATTTACCCCACACTGAAAATGAAAATGATTACTTCCAATTCACACACACACACCACTAAAATTTGAACATTGGCACGTCAAGATCGCTAGTCAGTGATAAAATCACCCAGTGAGCTTGAGTAGCAGACCCGTTTGTTCGCCGTTCCCGTTATACGAATTAATATATACATATGTGTGTAGGGGGGGGGGGGGCGCTAAATTTGATAGTTCGCCCCTAGCGGCAAAATGGGTTGCTACGCTTCTGATACCTAATTCATCTTAGGGAAAGTGAAGGCGGCTGGGCATAGTGCTGACCACACCTCCCGAGGTAAAGAAACATATGAACTCTACTTCATCTGCCCAAAGGATCGCTAGTTCTCAAGAGGATTCTTTACTTTTTCCTCTCTAGTATGGTGTATCGGATGTGGCTAGATAACCTGCACTTTCCTCTTACTAGTTATAAATTAATACCAGTAATGTATTAGAAATGTTTGTTTTGAAATAACATTATTTAGTAGTTAAAAAATTTCATTTAATGTTACCTAAAACTATTTTAGTAGAGAAGAAGGTGTACACATGTGACGACTTCTACTGCCTGGATGTGTATATGCCGGTGTGTGGGTCTGATGGGGTGACCTACAGCAACAGCTGCTATCTCGCGAGGTACAACTGTGACAGACCACCGGATAGTCAGGTCACTGTGGCATCCCAGAGTGCCTGTGGCAGTGACATATAGATGTCACATATTCTGAAATAACATGACATATAGATGTCTCATATTCTGAAATAACATGACATATAGATGTCTCATATTCTGAAATAACATGACATATAGATGTCACATATTCTGAAATAACATGACATATAGATGCCACATATTCTGAAATAACATGACATATAGATGTCACATATTCTGAAATAACATGACATATAGATGTCACATATTCTGAAATAACATGACATATAGATGTCACATATTCTGAAATAACATGACATATAGATGTCACATATTCTGAAATAACATGACATATAGATGTCACATATTCTGAAATAACATTGTGTGACGTGTTTTATTTTTACTTGGATTCGTATAGATAATAAACTCACTGTTTGTATATCATAGTGCATCTAGCAGTGCCACATAATGGTGACATGTTATGAACAAAAATATGTTTCTGCATGGCTTTTTGTACAGGATTTGTTTTCACTGCATACAATAAAATAATTGAAAATTAATAAATAATTGAAAAAATAAATAATTCCAGTAGTTGTTGTAATTTTTTATACTAGCGTACTCCTTAACGTTGCTGTGGCCTCAGTTGAAAAAACATTCCAGGACACTTGTTGTGATAACACTACATCTTTGCCAACAACCCATGGGTCGGCGTGGTCAAGTCGGTAAAACTCATGTTTGCTAAACCGAAAAGTCTCGAGCTCGAGTCCTCGGGCAGATGAAAGCCACTCTTCTGGGAGAGACAACTCCAAAATCAAACAACTACTGACAAAGGCTATGGAAGCAAGTAAAAAAAAAAGCAGGCTGAAGCCGGAGTGAACGGCCGGCAAAGCTCATGGTTGTTAAATTCGAAAAAAGCCTCGAGAGAATGCTCGATCCCTTCCAACACTAAACATAAGAACGAAGAAGAATAGAAAAAGACAACAACGTAATTTTGGATGTGCCGCCAAATAATGTCCATGCCTATTGTCATCGCGGTTAAAATTACATCAGAAAAAAACAGGACTTAATTGTATGTTACTCACTCACCCTCAGTAAGAGTGATGTAGAACACCCCTTCGCTAGGATCTCGCGGGAGCCACCAGTCGAACTATCGTAGTGGCTCCGGGCGCCGAAAATTTTGTAATATATTGACATAGCCCACCAAAATTCCTCGTGTAGGGCGCTCTCTAAAACAAATCTAGATGCCGAGGTGCTAATGGGGAGTGCAGGGTGCTTATGGTCACATGAGCGAGTTGGGGAATCTGGCACAGTTTACACCTCCCCCCCCCCGAAACGAAATAGAATTTATATAGAAAATATATACTTTTAACAGTGTCAGCCCACCGAAAATAAATTTCAACTGCAGTCCCCTCCCAGGAGAAAAAAGTCTGAAAGAAACACTTTTCATAACTAAAACATCAATACACAATACGCACATTCATAAAAGATTATTCTAGATAATGCGTTCGTAACAGGAACGAATAACATGATTTTATGATTTAGGCTATGTGGCTGTACCGAATAGGTCACCTACTCAGAAGGTAAAAAATGCAGGTAAACAGGATGTGGCTCATGAATAAGGTGACTAAAATATCCAAGACGGATACAAATTTTGACAGTTGCGTGCCACGTTACACAGCAGGCCCCAGAGCAATGACATCAGTAGAAACACAACACAATCAATGAAAAATATATATGAGCAAAAAATAATAAAGATGAAACAACTAGAAAACCCGTCTTAAACGTTGCCGCATGTGTACGCAATGTTTAAATTTTTAAAGAATAATATATTAATTAAACACACACACATTTATACATATATAGGCATATATATATATATATATATATATATATATATATATATATATATATATATATATATATATATATATATATATATATATATATATATATATATATACAATTATACATATATATATATATATATATACATGTATATATATATATATATATATATATATATATATATATATATATATATATATATATATATATATATATATAGTATGATCAAACACACATGCACATATATATATATATATATATATATATATATATATATATATATATATATATATATATATATATATATATATATATATATATATATATATATATATATATATATATATATATATACGTATATACATATATTGTGGGACGGAGTGGTCTAGCGGTAGAGAGCTGGACTGCTAACCCGTAAGTGTCGAGTATTGTGAAAGAGAGACCTCCCTACGTCTACGTCACTGCTATTACTGTATACCAGGGGTCTCCAAACTACGGCCCGCGGGCCGGATGCGGCCCGCGAAGTCCTCTCATCCGGCCCGCGGAGATCTTTTTGTCCAAGGAAAAATCGTTTGTCAGTGATTGCTGAGGAACTTTGCCCAGAAAAATCAAAGACATGCCTGGAAGAAACTGGCCCCCGAACTGAAATTTGATAGTTAATGCGGCCCTCGGACTGAAAAGTTTGGAGACCCCTGCTGTATACCTAAGTATATCCTGTTGTTTTGGGGTTTTTTTTGGTGACAAAAACGTTAGAAGTCCACCAAATAACCGCCTTGGGTTTGGTAACAGGATACAGGATACAAATCAGCCTATATAAATAGATCTGCGTGTCTTGATGAAGTTTCGTGTAAAGATGAAGCTGAACTTGATGTTACTGCTGTCGGCTGTCGTGATTTCTGCTCTACCTGTTGTTGCTGGTATACCTATCTTGGCTAATTTTACATTTTCTTTTAACATAACAGGTAAGTTTCATGGTCGATAATAAGTTTGTATACAGCACATTAATGCTAAGGTTCGATTTAAGTTTCTAGTATACTGAGAATAGAAAAAGTATTGCAACCGTACAAAAATAAATCGAAATTGTTTGTCAAAGCTCGACGTTTTACACCACTTGACTTAGAAAAACTTTGCAAACTTGTCTGTCTGCCTGTCTGTCTGTCTGCCTCTCTGTCTGCACTTGAATACATTAAAGTACCGTTTTAATAAGGTTGACGAAATTTCAAATATAATTAGTATATCAATTTTGTAGTTATCTGTCAATTTTTTTTTAGCACCGTTTAAGTATTTAACAATAGATGAACTTTCACCATGAAATGTTGTGTAAAATGAAGTTTTGATTCAGACTTATTTAGCGATTACTATTAATTTAACCAGCACCAATGGTCTTTGTTTATAAACAGGAGATAAACATATTCTAACCAGTTTAAATTGTAAATAATAATATTATAAACATTTTCACAATGACATTATATTAAAAAAATTATTTGGGCATATTAGCGAAAACAGTAAATATGCACGTATGAACCTTTGTTTATAAATATATTTATCACCAGTTTAAAATGTAAATAATGAAATTCTGTTTATAAAACATGTTTGATTCAGGCATATTTAGCTAAGACAGTTAATTAGCGCCTATGGACTTTGTTTCTAAGTAATTACTTAATTACACATATTACTTAACACCAGTTTAAAATGTAGGCCTAATTATTGAAATTCTATTTATAAAACAAGTTTTGATTCAGGTATATTTAGCTAAGACTGTTAACTAGCACCATGGACTTTGTTTAAAAAATAAAAAAATTAAACAAATTGCTTAACACCAGTTTATTAAAATGAAAATAATATTTTAATACCCTGTTTTTTTTTTAGAGGAATGGATACCAGTTAAGAAGACCAAATGTGACTTTCAATGCCAGGAAGTGTACGCCCCTGTGTGTGGGTCTGATGATGTCACATACAGCAACGGCTGTCATCTTGCGATATACAACTGTGACAGGCCTGAGGACAGCCGGATCACTGTAAAGTATATCGGTGCCTGCGGATCTCAGAGTGCGATGTAGATGTCGTGAGCTTACACATGAAGTCGCTGCTTCAGCTGTTGAAAGGATGTACACGTGTTTGTTAATTTTACTTCTTCTTCTGCGTTCTTAATTGTAATGCTGGAAGGGATTTCCACCAACACAATTAAGTATACGTGTCAACTTATTATGCAACATTTAGGTCCTTGACTCCGATTTCTACCTGCTTTTCTTTTTGGATTTGCTTTTTTCAATCCAAGAACAAACTACAAGACAGCAGTTGTTTGATTTCTGAGTTGTCTCTCCTAGATGAGTTGCTGTACCTAGCTATCGAGGCTCATTGGCTCGGGAGTTGATACTCGTGACTGATCGGTTTAGCAAACGACTCAACCACGCCTACCACCGCTATGCTCACAGTGTATCAATAAATTAAGACAGAATATCTAAAAAAAAATACACGTCTTTGTTTTCGTTTCTTTTGTTGGTTATTTTTAACTTAAAAATTAATGAATATATTATCTGTCATCCATTCACATTTTCCTGATGAATGATAGAAAAGCAAAACATTATCATACTAGTCTGGAGTAATGTCATTTTTCCAAGCTTTTATTTAATTTGCTATCTCTGTCGCGCTTTTGTCGCGTCTGATATCAAATATTGAAATGTCGAGCGAAAGTTCGACCATTTCTAAGTGACGTATTTCTCTGAAATTCGGCATGTGGGTCCAGAACCTATAACAATACACTCTGATATCAAATGTGACTTAATTGGATGCTTGATTTGAACACAATTAATAAAAATTTCAAATATACAGTACTATTTACCGCGTTATTATACGCATTTTCTTTCGTATTCATTTAGTTAAAAAAAAAGCTCATAAAAACAACAACACCGACAGCTTTAAATTATTTCATTCACAGCTGGCGCAGCGTATCAAAACACGAACGTAACCTTTTTTAACCTAACGGTCCATGGGACAGGTGAAGTAGAGTTCCCCTGTGTCAGTGATGTAAGTCATGTACCTACCAGAGCCTGGTACCCAGGGATGTCTTAAAGACTCTAGCCCGGGATCCGAACTCCGAATTTCGGGTTAACGGTTGTATGTTTCACCATCCGACCACGCTGACTATCCAAGTGTAATGCAGCTATTAATTTTCATTATTATTTTTTTAACCCTATCCCCGACAGTGTTTCTTCCAGGAAACTGTTGGGGTGGCTCCGTCGCCACCCCCGAAGAAAGTCTACCTCTCCCCCCCCCCCCCCCCCAACGAAATGGAATTTATAGAGAAAATATATACTTTTAACAGTCTCTCCCCCCCCCCCCACTGGAAACTTAAGTCCTCCCACCCCCCCCCCCCTCCCCCAGAATATTTCAACTTCCCATTCCCCAACCCGACTGTAATCATAAGCTAATTCCTAAACCTAATAGGCCTACTCCTAATACTAATATTTGTGATATAAAAATATTATTAGCTCATGCACGTAACCTTTCACCAATCACCTATACCGTCATTACTATAAGGTTTTTCTGGTCTATGTGTTGATCTCCCATTGCTTACAGCAAGGGGCAGTAACTCGTGATTATTATTTAAGCTACGTCTCTGTACCAATAAAGTGACGTGTACTGAAGGAAAGAGTTACAGGTAAACAGGATGTGGTTGATGTATAACGATACGAGGACAGTCTGGCCAGGACAATTGTCATCTATACTATGTAACGTTGTTTGTCTTGCTGAATAACGAGGGCATTAGTAGGAAAAACTAAGGGGTTTGCGTGGTCGAGTCGGTAAAGCTCATGGTTGCTAAACCGAAAAGTCTCGAGTTCGAACCCTCGGGAAGATGAGGCTCGTTAGCCAATCTTTATACTTATTGTGATGGAGGCGTGGTCGAGTCGGCAAAAGCTCACGGTTGATGAATTCGAAAAAGTCTCGAGTTCAAACCATATGGCAGATAAGGCTCGATCCCTTCAAAAACTAAAAATTAAGAAGAAAAAGTGGGAACACTAAGCAAGGACATTATTGTAAAATAATGGTATGCTAGTGAAAAACTTGATGCTTACAAATCTGTTGAGAACTTATTCATGTTGAAAAATCCTTTTTTAAAACGTTGGACCGGAATATATATATATATATATATATATATATATATATATATATATATATATATATATATATATATATATATATATATATATATATATATATATATATATATATATATGTAAGGATGTTAAACTATGCATGTCCTGGTTTTTGACAAACACTTTAGATTGTCATATAATCATCTGGCCTGGGGCCATGATATATACATTTAGATGTTCTCCAAATTGGTTTTTGGTGAACATGATACCGCTCCGATCTTTGATGCTGCTGGCTGCAATCAGAATTTTTTCCAGGCATCTCTTCGTATATCCCTCCCCCCCCCCCCCCCCCCAACGGAATAGAATGTGTATAGAAACTATTTTCTTTTGCCAGTGTCCATCCTCTCCCGATAATTTAGTGAAAAATGGTAAATGGGGCATCTTAAATAGAAAAGGGAGAAAAAGCTGAGTATTTTGATTACCAAGCCAAAATATTCGAAAAGAGAAGCTGTCTTGTCATTTTATGACTGACAGTACACATTTAGGTTTTAGATATCAAATAACTATCTTTAAAAACAAAATCATCTCTACTAAATTTTTTTTTACATGAAATAAAAATAAGTTTGATTCAGAAATTATTTTCATCTATAAAGACACCAAGTTCAGTATTACTCATACTTATTAAAAAAACAGACCTACAAAAATACCAAAAAGATGATGCTAGGACAAAAATAGTTGTTAAAATAAAAAAAAAAAAAGCTAAAATAGTTGCACTAGTTCAGGTACAAAATTAGCGCATTTTTTTAAGCACTTGGTAAACGTGTGTGTGGGATTTCCGCTTCTGTTATTAGCTCCTTTATACTGTTCACTTCTCCAAGTGATATTAATTACATTTACTGTTCAAAAAGCTACTCATCAATATTGCAATCGCGTTTAAGACAACGTGTTACTGATTTGAATAAATAATAGCTTACTGTAACAAAAAAAAAATAACAATTTCACGTAGGCTATATTTTTTTTAAGCTAGCCTACATCTTGTAGTCTATCGATATTATTGTTTATGGTTTTATAACAACAGAGGAAATAACTTTTCTATTTATTTTTTAAACGATTAAATAAAATTTTCACAATCACAATGAATCACATTTGGTTTGCAGAATACTAGCTGGCAAGTACACAAAGTTGGTGGCCTACTTACAAGCCAAATTTCAGGGGCCAGCAACTTAGAAAGTAACAGGTGTTTAGATGATCTAGAGCAGGGGTCTCCAAACTTTTCAGTCCAAGGGCCGCATTATTATTGAATTTCAGTTCAGGGGCCAGTTTCTTCCAGGCATGTCTTTGATTTTTCCGGGCAAAGTTCCTCAGCCATCACCAACAAACGTTTTTTCCGTGGACAAAAAGATCTCCGCGGGCCGGATGAGAGGACGTCGCGGGCCGCATCCGGCCCGCGGGCCGTAGTTTGGAGACACCTGATCTAGAGGCTATGTTTTGTTTTGTAACAGGATCTCTTTTTTTCTAAGCCCTGCTAAGCGCTACCTGTATGTTTACCTACCTGTTCAATGTATTACCGTCAATTAAAAGCTTTGGTGTAACATTAAGTAATGCAAGCGCCAGCTAAAAATAAAGAAAGAAAGGTTTTGTATAGTAAACTAGACAGTTCTTGTTGTTAATATAGTTGAGTTTCTGTGCTTCTATTGCATCTATATATGAAGGGACATTGTGGTAAGTACTACGCCCCGCTAAAATTTTACCATACCTGACAAGACTTAGGTATCAATAAGAGCAGAGTTGGATCATGACCGTTATATCGAGAAATTTAAACTAGACAGTGCGTACTTAAGAAATGTATAAGTAATTTTATTTTTAGAAATATAACTTTAGTTAATTTTAAAAGAATTTAAAAAAAAAGAAAAAAAAAACAAACCCGACTCCGCACATTGCCAGTTAGCAATCTTTCTTATCATTCGACCTAGTTCTCAGTCGTCGTTAAGTCTTATCTATCGAAGCTTAGTTTGAACACTTCGCTAACAGTCTAGCACATCATCAAGCAACTGCTGTTCGACCACACACTGCAACCTTCCGTCTATTCTAGTACAGCGATATTACAGTTAGCCCGACATCATGAAGTGTGTGATATCTCTGGTGGTGTTCGCTGCCGTCGTTGTTTTATCCAACATCGGACAAGGTAAATACAAACTGTACTGTCTACTTGATTACCGTAGTTAATAGAATAAGCGTACTTGCATTGGTATGTAATATATATTTCAATGCTATTCTCGTAATACTGTACCCATGGATTTATCGGTTCCTCATCAAGATGTTGATTGATTAACATACATGGTTAATCAATATTCAACATGAAAACACTATATATATATATATATATATATATATATATATATATATATATATATATAGCTTATATATGTATATGTAATGGCCCCTATTTTCACCATTTATACAAATAAACATATTGGTCGGGTATTAATAGTTATGTAAATATAGGCCCCTATTTAAATATATATATATATATATATATATATATATATATATATATATATATATATATATGTATATATATATATATATATATATATATATATATATATATATATATATATATATATATATGAATTGTTTATATAATATATGTGTGTGTTTGCATGAGCGTGTGTGTATGTTTAACTGTCAATTTTGTGTTTTTACTTGTATGTTCGCGCGAGAGATAAGTATAAACGTATGTGTAAGCGTATAAAAAAAGCCTCCTAAAATTCGCATGATGTGATGTGGACCATGCTAATACTTTATGTTTCCCATTCTAACACTGTATATTTCCCCATGCTAACACTGTATGTTTTCCTATTCTAACACTGTATGTTTTCCCATTCTAACACTGTATGTTTTCCCATTGTAACACTGTATGTTTTCCCATTGTAACACTGTATGTTTTCCCATTGTAACACTGTATGTTTTCCCATTCTAACACTGTATGTTTTCCCATTGTAACACTGTATGTTTTCCCATTGTAACACTGTATGTTTTCCCATTGTAACACTGTATGTTTTCCCATTCTGGTACTTTGTTTTCCCATTGTAACACTGTATGTTTTCCCATGCTAACACTGTATGTTTTCCCATTCTAACACTGTATGTTTTCCCATTCTAACACTGTATGTTTTCCCATTCTGTCACCCAGTCGAGTCGGCCATCTTGTCCCAGTGTGACATGATGTGTATGGACCTGTACGCCCCTGTCTGCGGGTCTGACGGTGTAACCTATAGCAACGGTTGTTACCTGAGCATTGCCAACTGCGGCAAACCAGATGCCTTGAAAGTTACCGTGGCGTCACAAGGAGCTTGTGGCGGCGCTTCTTCTGAGATCCGATAGACGTCGTGTTCATATACATAATGCCGCTGTTATGTTACATTCACAAAATAAAGTTGTTTATGAAAATTATTTTTTTTTTTCTTTTTCTTACTTTAGTTGTGTTATGTCTTATTTAAGTAATGTAACAAGTTTGCATTTTTAACAGATAAAAAAAAACAATATATATATATATATATATATATATATATATATATATATATATATATATATATACAATTTTTTTTAAGTAAAACTAAGGAAACGTTTTTAATGATGTCGATGACTATTCACCAAAATAGCCCAAAATGTTAAGTTGTCTAAGCGTACGAATCAATGATTTTAACAATTAATTAATCTTTTTTAGTTCGATTGCTAACTTTCACATGAGCCTTCCATTAATAAAGCTTGCATTCTTCGAACTATTTGTACATGTGTTAACTTCCAATTTTCACACATTCTCACAATAAGTAAGAGAGCTACCTAAATACAGAGTTTTTTCCAGGCATCTCTTTAAGTCTACCACCCCACCGAACGAGGTGGAATTTATTTAGTAAACATATACTTTAACTAGTGTCCCCCCCCCCTGGAAAATGTACCCCCCCTCCCCGAAAATATCCAGTGCGCCCCCCCCCCCCCCCCCTGGAGAAAAAAGTCTGGAAGAAACACTGCCAAAATAAGGCGTCATACATTCCCAAATATTGTATTTTTTTAAAATTTGAAATAATTAGTCTAATAAAATACAAATCATCGTTATTGAATAATTTTCATTACAACTTACAAAAGAAATTTTCTTTACAATTGCAAACAAAGAACACAGTTACGTTTAATAAATGCGAAATGTTTAACCTTCTCAACCCCCACCCATATGTTTTCATCACTAACGTTTTAGTCACTAATTATAACAAAAAATAAAAATGACCCCTCTCTCCAGAAAAATGTGAACCCATTAATTGACGACTTACATATATAACCAAGGACTGTTAAGAGAAAGTTGATGATCCAGATTAAAACTAATAAGGGTGTCGAAATAAAATTTCAATAAGCGATGGCTTGCCATTTTTAAACACCAGTTATGTGATACAAACATATATCAGTTTATAAGATGACGTATCAGAATATTATACAGCAACAAACTCGACAAACTGTATATTATTTTATCAGAAAAGAAATTTAAAGCAACAGAATGCAAACGGTATATAATATTCTGTCATAAAAGAATTTAAAATGAAAAACAGAATAGTTTTTCAATATTTTACTAACTAGTACACGACTCATTTATTCAAACGTAGTACAAGTACTTTTAACGTCAACCATTAATCACCAAACTACGCAGAAAAGCAACACTATAAGACACTGCCACACCACAGACCAGGCGGAAACAAAGAGCTAGATGGTGAAGTGTTTACATCTGTCCACAATGGCACGTCTTTCAGTATTGCTGGTATTTACCTTGATTGTAGTCAGTCAACATACCTGCTGTAATGCTGGAGGTAGGATAAAACTTTTCATATACAAACTTATCTATTTTTTAAAATAGATTGATGTTTCATATAGAAAAAAAATATAATAAGTATATATATATATATATATATATATATATATATGTGTGTGTGTGTGTGTATATATATATATATATATATATATATATATATATATATATATGTATATAATACGAGCTGACCCGTGCCGTAAGCATTCACCGCTATTTAGTTGTTTTATTTTCTACCTTTAAGTAATTCATAATTTGTGAATTTGACACTACCAATGATGCGACTAAAAATATTTCGGTTTAAAACACTATCAGTAGCTCGTGAAGGATCTTTATATATACGCTTGTGTTTTTATATATATCTAGGCTAAATTTATGTTCGAATATTATATTGATGTGTGTAAGTAAGTAACTAACACATGCTAATCTTTCTAACATTTTTAATTATGAACATAACCGGTGTTCTTTCAGATTTGATAATTAATGACAGTTAAAGTAAAGATTCCTATTTAGACCTGGCGATTCAATTGGGCAGAACAAGTAGAGCTCATACGTTTCTTGACCTCAGCATATGAAAGGATAATGTGGTCAGTACTACACCCAGCAGCCTTGACTTTTCAGGGGTCATCCATCTATGACGTCCACGGGGGGGGGGGGGGGGGGTGTGGGGGTCCGAAAAAAAAAAGACTTTTTGTGGACGTGGGGGTCGGGGTGGGGGGTGGGTCCAAAACCCAAATAAATTGTGGACGCCATAAATGGATGACCCTAACATGAGTTAGGTGCAAATTAGAGCTGGGGTGACTGAGGACGTTCCACAGACTTATACCCGGATTCGAACTAAAGACTTTCGGGTTAGCAATCTAGCGCTCTACCACTCTACCACTAAGCCACGCCATCCCATAGTTTTGATAATAACCTATGATAAATGTCCATGTCGACATCAGTTTATTTTCTCTTTCCCTTCTTGTTTCAGTTGACGTAGAGTTCGTCAGACCAAACCTCGACCATCACCTCCTGGAGGTGTACAAGCCCTTCTGTGGACCTGACGATGCCATGTCTGCCAGTCAGGGTTGTCTGCTGGGGATGTACACCATCATATAGTGCCCGGGAATCACGTGATAACTAAGTGGCATTGCTCTCAAATATGAACTTGTTATGAATTATTCAACGTAACAGTGTTCGAGCAGTGTATATGATTTATAGTTCTAGTGTTGATATTCTTTATTTTTTTTAATAAAAGTATAATCTGAATTATATTTTGTTTGAGAATACATTTCTGTTTTGTTTTGTTGCTCTGTTTTCCTTGTATGTAAAACCGTAGCAGTTTTATAACGTAAACACGTAACTTTCCCTTCACCAATGAGATGAATGGGATCTCGCGTGAGTCTTTGAAAACAGCTGCCTTTGGGAAAGTATGGTGTAGAAAGAATCAAACCGAATTATCCGGAGTATCAATATATCGCTTGGGAACAGCGTGGCCTAGCAGTAATGCGCTAGACTGCTAATATGAAAGTCTCAAGTTCGAATCCTGGTTCAAGTCCGTAGAACGTCCTTCAGCCCTCCCAGCCCTGAAGGATACCGAACTCAAGTTAGGGAAAGTAAAAGCGGCTGGGCATAGTGCTGACCCCACTACTCTTTCATAAGCCGAGGTCACTGAAACAGGTGAGCTCTACTTCACTTGCCCTATGTGTTACGGGTCAGTTGTAGGTTAGATAGAAATAGGTTAGAATAATCTAGAATTAGGGGAGAGTGCGTGTGTGAGTTGAGTTTACCCTAGAGTAGTATTGTTAACCCTAGTGTGTTTATGTATTGTTATACCAAGGTCGAATGCGGTATAAAAGTTGGAGTGAATGGATGTAAGGAGTTAGTTGGTAACGGTTAGGGCGAGGGCGACCCTGTAACGTTGAACGTGAAGCTAAATCAAAGTATACTATATGTGTCACGAATCGTTGTTGAGTTGAAACGAACCCTGGACGTAACACTATGCACCTTTAGGATCATGATATATCGAGAAGAGAAACTGGAGTATCTGACCGACTACTTGGGCTCCACGTATGTTTGATCCCGGGGTCTTATATGCCCAGGGATTCAAACTTGGGATATTCGGGTTAGAACCCTTGAGCTCACCTACTCTATCACGCTGTTCTCTATCAATATAGTTATAAAATAAAGTAAGAAGACCCAAACTGAGGCATTCCACATGGAAGTTTGAAAAATTATCCGAAACATATTTTTGAAATATATTTCAAGACGCATTGCTGCAAGACCACTACATTCCCATATAAAATGACTTGAAATAAGTAGACCCACATTTCTTTATCTTATCGCCGAAATCGTGATTAAACATGAAGTCTTAATCAGCAGTTTGAGGTCAGTATAAATAAAAGCGTTTAGATTGGGATTTAAATTGATTATTTTTTTGACAAAACAAGATGGCGTCAAAAGCCGTAGTTTTCCTGGCTTGTACTTTGCTTGTGATGTTTGGGCTAAACAGTATTCAATGTAAGCATGTTGTTAGAGACTAATTGCAAAGCATATATATATATATATATATATATATATATATATATATATATATATATATATATATATATATATATATATATATATATACCTTTAGGAAACACAATTTAGAATTAGCACAATAGTTGTCTTTAATCTTAAATGTACTGTGACAGCAAAACCCCCCATACAATACTTTCTATTTTCATTTCTTATTACTAGGGAGTTTTAGAACACCTAGATCTAGATACTTGTTTTTTTTTTAAAGGCATTTTCATGCAAATTCTAAAACAAAATATTTCAATTAACAACCTAAATGGAATATCAATTTAAATTCATTTTCAACTATATTTTTTTCATTTTTAACTATATTTAATAGTTTAAGCGCTACCCAGTCTTTTGTTTAGTTTAATAATTCAGCAGTTGAATTTGTCTATTTCACCCATCTCACATCAGCTGTAATAATTTGTTACAATATTGTTCTTTTACGGCTCCGTGTTGAATGCTACCAGCTATCATACTGCTATCCTAATATTATTTTATAGGGATTCTATATTATGTTAAATTTTTCTATAGCAATTACGATCTGTTGTAACAATTATTCTATATAGGTTGTGATATGTTAATGAAATCATTCTTGGGTTGGTTAAGCGCACGACAGATAACCCAAAAAGTCTTTAGATCGGATCTGTAGAACGTCCATGAGTCCACTCTATTCGATTGAGTACTTCGGATTCGTTAGACAAGTAAAGGCGCAGGCCTTAGTGCTGATCACATTATCCATTTATATGTCCAGGACACAAAACATGTAAACGCTACATTTTCAATGTTATAGATCGTAAGGTCCTTCTTTGTCTTTGTTCTTCATTGTAATGTTGGACGGGATTTTTCTCCAACATAATTCAGTTCTGTCAACTTGTAACGCGCCATATAGAACGTTGATTCAGATTGTATTTTTAGATTTGTTCCCATACCATTTTTTATTATCGTTATGTCCAATATGTGTAACATATTCTATAGCAGCTCTTCTACGTTGGTTTTGTTCCCCACACAGCGGCCGCCATCCCACCGTGTGAGCTGATGTGTATCGCCATATACAACCCCGTGTGCGGCTCAGATGGACACACCTACGGCAGTGCGTGCTCTCTGACGTCATCCAACTGCGGCAAGCCAGCCGGAAGTGAGGTCACAGTGGCTCATGTTGGTGAATGTTAGACTCGTTTTAAAAAAAAACACTTGAAATAAAACTCAAATAATTTTACATTAAGTATTGTTTTTTTTAAAAATATAAATGAATAGACGAACACCTACACCTACTGCGCAACGGAAAAGCACAAAAAAGTGCGCAAGGGCATTTTTGTTTTCTTAAATTGTGTATTTATAGACATTAACACAGAGTGACAACATGTACACTGTTACAAACAAAACATAGTTCCACGAAATATGACAAAAAGCCTATTAGTATAATTAGTTTGTATTTGCGCATTATTCTGTTTGTGCAGTTTTCCGTTGCGCAGTTTTCCGATTGCGCTTTTTTTTCTGGGAACCGTAGAATACACTTAACACTGAGTGTCACAAGAAATATTTGCAATGGGCGCAGACCGCACCGGTTTTTACCATTTGGTGGAATAGGGACACCAAAGCAAACAATTATATATATATATATATATATATATATATATATATATATATATATATATATATATATATATATATATATATATATATATATATATATATATATATATATATATATGTATATATATATATATATATGTATATATATATATATATATATATATATATATATATATATATATATATATATAGGGGGGAGGGGAGATGATATCATGACAGAAACTTGCTTCCGATAAGGAAAAACAATGCATGCCGTTATTTGCCATGTTACTTGAGCACTATTCTGAGTGGGTCTGGACATGAGACAAACTGACGTCATAGTGGTTCAGATAAGGAGCGGCAACTCTGGTTTTGGAAACTAATTCAGATGATCCGTAACAATCCAACACAATGACAGACAAATTATAACAGTTTTATTCATAGAAATAAATGTTAAAACTGATATTTCAAAGTGAAATAAAAATACTGAAGTAACACAATAAAAAACAATTGAATTATTACTTAGACCTAGAAAAAAAATTAAATAATGTATAAAAGCAATTATAATATGCACCATGTTAAACTGTACAATCCTTTCCCTGTATAATAGGGAGTTTGAATTAACTATCAAATTTCAGTTCGGGGGCCAGTTTCTTCCAGGCATGTCTTTGATTTTTCTGAGCAAAGTTCCTCAGCCATCACCAACAAACGTTTTTTCCGTAGACAAAAAGATCTCCGCGGGCCGGACGAGAGGACCTCGCGGGCCGCATCCGGCCCTCGGGCCGTAGTTTGGAGACCCTGATCTAGTGTAATGGCCTTTCTATCCACCTCCATATTAGATCAGCTCTAGAGCTGACGAACATTGTTTCGTCTCGCCCATTTACAGCGCTACTATTGTCATCTTTTTAAAATGGCCCGTCTTTCAGGCTGGCTCATATTTACTTCATTGCAAGCCTACACCATATCTGCTGTAATGCTGGAGGTAGGATCAAATCTTTTCATATATAAAGGTATTTCTTTTATAAATAGATGGGTGTTAAATATATAAAACAAAACATATTGAAAATTAATTAAATTTTTAATCTGTAATAGGGCTGGTAGTGTGTCAGTTCGTCATCGCTATGGATTTTGGAACCATAAAAGTAAACCACATCAAATGTCGTGCTTTTTACTTGCATTGCACCGTTTTTACATTTTGAGTAGGGTTTGTTTATATAACGACTTAAATTTATTTTATAGTTGCCACGGTTTTTACTCTTTTGCATAACGTATTGAAAATATTAAGTACACGCACATTGCTAATAAATATTAAACGGATCAATGTCAAATATAATTTTCGTTTAGATTCCTAGAATAAGTGGATACATTTTAATATTAATAGGGTCGAAAAAACGAACTAATTAAACTGTTTTTTTAATTTTCCAAGGGAGGTAGTTTAAAAATAAATTCAACTCACGCTAATAAAAAAAAATGTGACTGTAAAATCTGCGGACCTCCAAGAAGGAATTATTGTTGCAATAATATAACTAGCAAAATGTTAATGCAAATTATGCGGATGTGTAAGAGGACATTATTGTTAGAATATTATAATTAGCATGGATTGCTAAAAGGCAATCTTTAATTTTTTTTAATACACTGAACGAACTATTTACTAATTATTGTGTCTATCTTTCGGTTTTCGGACTAGCTGGAGGTTTTATATTCGTTGACTAAATTGGATCAGGCTCGTCCGCCAGTGCTCGGTCAGGGTGCGATTTGGCACCACGGGCTACACCGTGAGCACTATGCGTTTATGTTTACATTTAAGTTGTGTTTATATTATGAGTGTTGTGCTTGTGTTTTCGTTTGTGGTTTTTTTTTTGCGTTTTCATTTGTGTTTGCATTGTGTTTGTGTTTTCATTTGTGTTTTTATTTGCGTTTGCTTTTTCTTTAGTTTTTGTGTGTTGCGTTTCAGTTTTCGTTTGTGTTTGTGTTTTCTTTTGTGTTTGCGTTTTGTTTGTGTTGTGTTTGAGTTTGTGTTTTTGTTTTGTTTGTGTTTAGTTTTGTTATGTTCCTAAGATGGTGCATGTAAAATAGATTTACCGTAGCGGGACCAGGATATGCAGCTAGTGTCTCATATTTAAACATGCATGTCAATGTTTGATCTATCTTAATGTTTCAAGCTATTCTAATAGTTGAATGTGTATTTAACTTAAGACTATATACATTTGGTCATTACAATAGTTGTAGAAATAATTATCAGGCAATATTTTAATTCAAGTGTAACACATTATATAACTGTATACTTATACTAAGCACATTACAAAAAAATTTAAAACATTTTGAAGATATAAATTTCAAACAATCAACGACTAACGATTTGTATAAACAGCACAAATTAATCATTTATATTATTACATATGACGTGAGATTTAAAAAAAAACTTTTAATGTTTATTTAGATGCGTTCAAACAACCAGTCTATGACCAACAGGCCAGTAGTAGAGTAAAGGTCTGGGACAGGGTAAAGTCTCGTACTGTACTGGGTCAAAACAAAGAGGTATTTTAGACCAGTCTTCTACAGGTAATCTTGATATTGGTTCTTGAAACATCAACGTTCGCTGTAATCTTGGTGGGAGTTTGGTCTGTTTTAGTTTTTCTTCTCTCATAGGTCCAGTCCCAAGTAAGGTGGAGACTTCAATAAAAGCTAGTTTGACCAGTGGCCAGGGTTCTCTTCTGGCAGCAGCTAGTTCAGATTGTATTGTGTGGTTATAATCTAAGTCAAAGCCAGTTTTATCTCTCAGGCGAATCTCGCGAAGAAGGCTCTGCTTATCACGTTTAAAGATGCACCCGGTAGCGATTAAGAACTGAACGAAATTCAACTTATCGTTCCCAAATGCGGTTCTTAAATTATTTGAGTCCCGGTAACTACAGAAAGTGTTAAGTGTAAAATCTAATACAATTCCATTTATTAGAAAAAACTGAAACATATGCTGAGATTCATTCATATTTATGTTGTAAATACTCTTTGGACCATATGTTTGCTTATAACAAGACGAATCTCTCAATAAATATCGATGCTCTTCGGGCACCAAAGGTTCCACACCAAGTTTTAAAAATTTTGTAATTAATTTATGTTGTTTGTGTGTTTCATTATTTAATAAAGTGTGTACAATTAGAGAACGATTTTTATTGTCAGTTATATTTACATCAGCACCAGCAGATACTAGAATATCGAAGGGACACTCCTTCACTGATATGTAACGATTCATTTCTTCGAACTCCTCTATATCATATTGGTCATATATGTTCCTTAAACCGTTAAAAGCGTGTATACAAGCGTTCATCCCCTCACAGTCTCTGATATTTACATCAGCTCCAAGATTTACCAGATGTTTAAGGATCTGCAAGCTGCCAATATCAGCAGCGTACATTAGAGCAGTGAGACCTGTCTTGGAAGTGATATCGAGATTTGCCCCTCTAGTTATCAATTGGTAAACCGCTGATGATTTATCGTGTTTGGTTGCTAAGTGCAAAGCTGTTTCTCCATTTTTATCCTGAATGTCAACATCAGAGCCTTTCTCAACCAGCAGTTCGACAACTTGAGCATTGTTGGCATAGAAAAGTGGCGTTCGTCCTGCGTTGTTTGTTTCGTTGATATTTGCTGACTTTTGTGCTAACTCATGTAGAAGCATATAATTATTGTTATGTAATCCATGTTCTACAGCTAAATGTAACACTGTGTCACCTTCATTGTTTTTTATATTTACATTTGCTTTGTTATCGATCAAATATTTCGCAATCTTTGCAAAATAATTTTCTACCGCAATCATTAATGGTGTTTCCCCAAGTGTACTTCTTGCATTGATCTTACATTTTTCCCCAATCAAAAACATGACGATGTTTATGTGTCCTAAAAGGCATGCCATATGAAGTGCATTTTCTCCATCAACGTTGGTCCTATTGATTAGAAGTTTACTTCTTGCATCTACTTCAGCGGCTGTTGGTGCATTAACACAATCATCTAGCTGCACATTACTGGTAGAGCCGCAAGTACTTGCTGGTGCATTAACACAATCATCTAGCTGCACATTACTGCTTGAGCCGCAAGTACTTGCTGGTGCATTAACACAATCATCTAGCTGCACATTACTGCTAGAACCGCAAGTACTTGCTGGTGCATTAACACAATCATCTAGCTGCACATTACTGGTAGAGCCGCAAGTACTTGCTGGTGCATTAACACAATCATCTAGCTGCACATTACTGCTAGAGCCGCAAGTACTTGCTGGTGCATTAACAGAATCATCTAGCTGCACATTACTGCTAGAGCCGCAAGTACTTGCTCTGGCCTTTGCATTCTGTGCCTGTTGTCTCGCATCAGATCGTATTTTTTTGTAGGATGTAACCAATTTCACCAAGGGAAGTAATCCACTTAGGTTTCTTACACTGTGGTGTAATGCTGTGTTCCTTAATTTATCAACCAAGAACACTTTAGCCCCTACCCTGAGAAGTATTTTAGCCGTCTCGACATTACCACTCATACAGGCTACCATTAACGGCGTTTCACCGTTTTTGTTCTGATGATTTACGTTCGCCTTGTGGATTAGAAACGACCCCAGAATATATTTACTGCAAGACGCTGCGGCCACATGCAGACATGAGTTGCCGTTCTTATCTGTAGATGAAACGTTGGCACCTTGGTCAAGCATCGCCTTGATTAGCGTTAGGGTTTTTCTTTTTGAACTTTGTGTATCACAGATGAAAACTTTTTTAGGTGTCTCGTATGAATCTTCAACTGACTGGAAGCCAGTGTACGGGCTATACTCGCGCTTACGACCTGTCGAAAACAGCCTTAGCCTATGCAAGCAGATGTCCGCTGCAGTAATATACTTCACTGACAAACTGCCGCATTTCATAAGTCTCAAGCATAGCATCAACGCGGGAGTCTCATCATTGTTTTTAACGTTCGGGTTAGCCCCATGTTTTAGTAACATGACAGACATGTCTGTATTTGCATGGCTCAGGGCCATCAATAGCTCAGATCTTTTACCCTTATCACACAGAGCGCCATGATTCATCATTAGTTCAACGAGCTCTAAATTGTTATGAACGACTGCAGCGTATAGAGGCGAGCATTGTGAATCACACATCACGTTAACATCAGCTCCAGACTCAATCAGATATTTGTAAATGTCCTTGTAGTTATACAGTAAAGAAAAGAATAGCGGGCTGTTTCTAAATGTATCCACGGCATTTATATTAGCACCAAATTGGCACAATTCCTTTACGACACTCAAATTCCCATATATAGCTGCAATGTGTAAAGGCGTCCTTCCTTGTTCATCAGTGACATAAACATCCGCCCCTGCCTCCAAAAGTAAATGAACAATCGTAGGAGTAGATTGTGCAGCTATATGTAATGGGGTATGTGTACGTGTTGTTAAATCAACGTCGGCTCTCTCCTCCTCGCCTTCATTACGTTTGTAAAGATAATATACGTTGGAAACAGATTCGTCTCTTACTAACTCATTTATAGGAATATGTTCATGCTTAGGTGAATAAAGTTGAGTGCCACGTACCTCATTTAAAAACAGCTTGTTTAGATCCCGTGTTTCGTGGTAATATTGGCGTGTGGATGCTGCGTTAACATTAGCACCTGCTTTAATTAAAAGTGACACAATGCTTTTGTTTCCTTTTAATACAGCATTTATTAATGGTGTATTTTGATTAGGATCAACAAAGTTCAAGTCCGCCTTGTGAGCAATTAGAATATCTACCAGCTTCTCATCTTCCTTAATAACTGCATATATAAGGGGGGTAATTCCTCTCCTGTTAATAATATTTACCTCAGCCCCATGTTGTAGGAGTAATGTTGTTGTATTTAAATCTGATTTTTCAACACATATTTCTAGCGCTGTTTTTGCATATCTGCCCAAACAATGTATATCAACTTTTGCATTGATCAGTAACTCAATCATTTCTGTATCTGATTTATCAGCTGCAACATGAAGAGGCATCGATCCTTCTTTGTTTTTTACATAAAGCTTAGCACCCGCTTCCACAAGTAATTTAACTATGTCAGACTTTCCTCCGTATGCGAAATGAAGAGCTGTATTTCCTTCAAAGTCTTCTTGATTGATATTTACTCTCTTTTCTAGAAGAAATTTTACAATATTTATTTTATTTGTTTCAACAGCTTTCATGAGTATAGTTTTTCCGTATCAATATTGTTTGTTTACATCGACTTTACCTGAGCGAATCAGTGCATTAAATATATCAGGTCTAATAAAATCTTCAAATTGTAGTGATTCTATGTCGACTGCACTTCCGCCATTAATTAAATCGACAAGCAAATCAAAACATTTATGTTGATTAGCTAAGTAAAACGGTGTCAAAGGACTATGATCCGAATGATCAGTAAATCCACGATATCTTTCAACAACCAAATGCAGGAAGTTATAATTTTTCGCCATCTTTAAAGCATCGATGGCTTTCTGACAGGCCAAGGAAGCTCCAGCCTTGATTAATTCTTTAACACACTCAACTTGCTGTCGTTCGACGGCTATGGTCAGTGCTGTAATGAACCTGGAGTTGTTACGTGTTAAATTAACATCGGCGCCTGCAGATATCAACGTCTTTAAGGCCAGAAGGTTATTTTTCATAACAGCTATCATCAGCGCTGAAATACCATATCTATTTCTGCAGTTGATGTTACAGTTTTGTAGTTTCTCCGTCTCTCCTTTCAGAGCTAAGTCAAGCACTCGCTGGACTATTTGATTATTGCTCATTGTATCCTAGATTTAAAAAAAAAATGCATAAACTAATTACATTGATTAAAAAATATTTGTTTTTACGTAAAGCTTTGTATTTAACTATGTTTAAAAAAAGATAGACTGTCATCGACGTAAAATATTAGAAGTGGGTCAACATTGAGTTACAAGATTTGCAACAAACCCACAAACAAACAAACAAACAAACAAACAAACAAATAAACAAACAAACAAACAAACAAACAAACAAACAAACAAACAAACGAACAAACAGGAAAACTTTGAAATTTGCAATATTTTACTGCTTTGTTTAAATTACTTAAGTGGCCTGAAATAAGTAAGCCTACCATTTTTTTTTGTATTTATAGTGCTTGATAGGACAATAGGTCAGGTTTGAAGTACCTTTACTCAGTGGGTATGTACAACGATAGTTTACGAGAGCTTTGTAATTTATTGTACTTTAAAGGGAAAGTTGATATTTATGTTAAAAAATACTAAACACAAGATGAGTAATTGAGGTATAGGTAACACGACATGGAAAAGTCCCAAAGGCTTGAGAGGAACTGAATGAAGTAGAGGCAGACCTAAGCAGGAGTGAAATAAAAACATTTAAAATTTTGTTATTAGATTTATTATCTTTTAAATGCATTGAAATCAAGAAAATAAAAATTAGCAATATTTAATAAAAGCGTCAGTCATTAAAATATTTTTTAGAAATCACTTGAGCGATCAATGCATTTACTAGAGAAAACAAGTTTATTTATTACAAGCTTTTATTTAACTCACTGTCTCTGTTGTCAGTCGTCAGTCTGTCGTCAGTCAGTCTAGATCGAAACGCCCGAGCGAAATTTCGGACACTTCTAACTGACAGATTTGTTTCAACGTTGGCACGTTGGTTAAGACATGAAAACAATGCAACATGACATTAAATTTGACTTAATTGGTTGCCTGATTAATTTTTTATGAATTAATTAAAATTTTGTCCAAATTAGTTGGCTGCCTCATCAAACTATTTCGCATTATTTGACACGCGTCATCACGTTCATTAAGTGCGCAGTGGTTTATAGTCATGCAACTCTTTGTAAATTTAAAACATTTAAAGTACTGAATTTTTTTCATAAAAAACGTTGTAATAGCAAGCTTTTATGTAATAAAGCACTAAAAAGTAGAAAATGAATCATACACTACTAATTAAATAACTAAAAAGAAAAGCGTGGGTCTCTTCCTAAATATTAAAAAAGGTATCCAATACATACTAAATTGACCCACGCTCAGAGGCGTATCCAGGTTTTTGCTGTAGGGGGAGCGAAAAGAGAACAAAAAGGCGCCGAATTTTTAACACGTTCTATATACGTGTATATTATATTATATTATATTATATTATATTATATATATATATATATATATATATATATATATATTACTAGCTGTATGTCATTACTTCGCTATGATGTAAAATAAATTGAAAGTAGCACTCTGAAGAAATAAGAAAAAAACACACAATGTAGGCCGACAAAACAAAAATTGTATCAATCTAAACAAAAAAAAAATATATACACACACTACAACCAAAAACAATGAACGTAGCACAATCTGTTTTGTAATTCTTGTAAAAAAAATTGTTACATAATAATTCCTGGGAAATTATTTAAGACAAGTAAAATAGGTGAAATAATCACTCTCTTAATATAAATATGTATATATCTACACATTTAATTATAAATGTCAAAACAAATTCCTGGAAGAAACTCTGTTGGGTTGAGGGGGGGGGGGGTTCAACTTCATTCACCACTGTCCGGTCACTTTAGGTCCATTATCCAACCCAGTTACCTAGGTGTGACATTAATGTCGCTCTACACAATTGTGGTGGTGAGGTGTGTGTGTGTGGGGGGGGGGGGGGAGATAACCAACTCAGAGTGAACATAGAGTCCGTTTTTAGATGACTGTTCTAAACATACATATATATTACACACATACATATTACAGAAATAGATTTAAATAAGTAGCAGGGGCGTAGCGAGGGGGGTGCGGGGGGTGCGGACCGCACCGGGTGACACCATTTAGGGGGGTGACACCAAGGCAAAAAAATAGCAAAATATATAGAGAAAAACTTGAGGGGGTGCAAATCGAAAATTTGAAAGTTTGTCCCCGGGAAGGGTCGCAACGCCTCTGGGGAGGGGGGGGGGGTTGACACCATTAAGTGCCGCACCGGGTGACACCCGACCTAGCTACGCCACTGATAAGTAGCAGTGGTATTATGACAATATTTTTTTTACAGAGGGGTCCATGGGGGAGGGGGGTTGTAACTGTTTCATATAATTTGTAATCGTAATCACTATCGCCCAAACTGTAAGAATACTACTTCATAGTGATGACGTTTTTGACCTTGTCAAAATTTCCCCACTGCTACACAGTTTGCTCATCAGTAAATTTAAATAGAGATGCCACATCAGTTGTATTTGTTTCTGTATTGTATTTTTTTTTAAATTAATCACACGATTCAAAGTGTATATATAAAGTAATTATGTGTGAAGTTTTATGTATAACATTTTCTAATTCAATTATTCGTAAGCAAATACATTATACAGTTGCCTTAAACTTAACACCCCTCTTGCCAAGTGGTACTACCCGTAGAGGTTTTTTAAACATTGCAATGCATCGTAATGGTTATTTTTAGAATGGCAAACTGTTGCAGCTGTTAATACGTGTTGTAAATGTAGACACTACTAGACTAGTACAATAATGCTTAATTGCTGCATGAAAAGAAATCTTGTGATTTACATAGTTGTGCCGACCAAAAATATTTTTTTTTACAAATATCATTGTTTAAAACTTTGAGTTTTAAAAGTTTCCAAAAAAGGCGCCACTTTGCTGAAAATGGCCAGAGGGGGAGCGACCGCTCCCCCTGCTCCCCCCCCCTGCGTACGCTACTGCCCACGCTATTCTTTATAGTTATTTTAATAGTAGCGTATGATTTATTTTCTACTTTTTAGTGCATTATTACATAAAAGCTTGTTATTTAAACGTTTTTTATGAATTTTTTACAAGCTTTTATTTAAATCACTTCCTCTGTCATCAGTCGTCAGTCATTCTAGATCGAAACGCCCGAGCAAAATTTCGGACACTTATAACAGACAGATTTGATTCAACGTTGGCACGTGGGTCAAGATATGAAGAAAAAGCAACATGACATTAAATCTGACTTAATTGGTTGCCTAATTAATTTTTTATTAATTAATTAAAATTGTGTTCAAATTAGTAGGCTGTCTCATTGAAATATTCCGCGATATAATACACTTGTCATCCCGTTCATAGGTGCGCAATAGTTTTTAGTCATGCAACTCTAGTGTAAATAAAATGTGTAAAGTGCTAAAAATTTCATAAAAAACGTTTTCATAACAAGGTAGGAAAATATTATATTAATACTTCTGCGAGAAAATGATTCCAAAAGCCTTTTTATGATGACTATTGGGATATGGTCTTGTTGCCATCGACAAATGCTTTTGTTATTGGACGTGGCACAAAAAAGTAGGCAATACTAGTCATATACTCCGTGGGACGGAGTGTTCTAGCGGTAGAAACCTGGACTGCTAACCCTTAAGTCTCGAGTTCGAATCCGGGTTCAAGTCAGTAGACCCTCCCTGAGTCCACCCAACTCACGTTAGGGAAAGTAAAGGCGGCTGGGCATAGTGCTGACCACACTATCTCTTCATATGCCGAGGTCACAGAAACTAGGGAACTCTACTGCACTTGCCCTATAGACCGTCAGGTTTGTAAGGTGAACTTTTTTACAATAACACTTTAAATTAAGTGGATCTGATAATTCCTATAAAGTTATCCCAATCCAACTCGTTTACTAGCATTCTATTAACTATTGCAACAAAAATCAACAACTAATAAATAACTCAAAAAGTCACAAACACATATGTTTATCACCAAATCCCACGTAATGTTGCTTAAACTACGACCACGGATTATGGCTTGCCATTTATTATCCATAACATTAAAAACTGCTAGTTTATTGAAACCATTTCTGGTTAAAAAATAACCGTCATTTTCACTGACAAAACATATTTGAGTACGTTAAAAAGGCCAGTATTAATTATTATGTTGCCGGAAATCATTTACATAATGTATTACTGTTAAATGAATTATGATATGCATGTCTAAATGACTGATAAGGAACTTAAAAAAGATAATATTTTATTGAATAAAGCGAAATGAAAAACGCCTAATGTTAACCAAAAAACGAATGCTGATTTATTTTAAATGTGAATCACCACATTTATGTTTTAAGGCAAAGTGCCAACGTAATACGTCACTGATATTGTAGCAAACGTTGTATCTATGTTGTACCAGTGGTCTGTACCTGTTTGTTTGTATCGTCTCTTAGCTACGAGGTCAGATGGAGTCTCGTCTGATTCGAGACTTGGGAATTCCCAAAGTCCTCTTATATGAATCATAAAGTTCACTTAGTTTAATATGCTTTATATAAGCTCTCTTCTAATCAATATAAAGGTTTAGTTAGACTTATCTAGCAGCTCAAATAATGGGTCAAACAACACTTTCTCTAATTTACTCCACCATGAATATTACATCGCGCGGAACGTTAAAAAAACTGAATATAAATGTAACGCTAATCATGACTAAACTGAAGGATGCCATTGTCCATATGACTTTATAGATTGTGTAAAAAACTTTACTGGAGTTTATTACTGAACGTAATTTGTTCAAAGTTATCCGTGCAAGTCGAAAATTTTAAGGACAAAAATAATTTTCCGTAACATGGTTTTTAATGACACATACCTAATTTTAAAAGAATGACGATTACATTCAAGAGTATAAACAGCGTTTACCCATTCGTTTTAATATCACCCAGGATAGTATATAGGCCCTATATATATATATATATATATATATATATATATATATATATATATATATATATATATATATATATATAAAATACTCAGGTAAACGTATAGCTGATATAAGATAAACGAATAAGTTAAATTAAGCTTACGTACGATAATCCACTTGCCAAAAAAAAAAACGAACCAACAAGCAGAATAAAAAAAACTTAGCTGCAGTCTTTGTGCAAGATAGTTTCTGTTTCTATACAGTGTTTCCACATTTCTTTAGTAAAGTACATTGTTTTAAAATAAACGCTGCGTTGATCTTCTAGAGCTTAATTAGAAATTTTGTATTCTAATGTTGAAAACATTCATTGCAAGACTGTTGCTTATATAATAAATGAAAATACTGAGATAAGGTTATTTCATTCTCATAAAAATTACACGACATGTGTAAAGTAAAATGATTTTTGTTTTCTACTTACTGTAAACGCTTAAAAATGGTAGGCCTACAGCCGAAACAAGTAAGTCAACACGACAGGAATTAGAAACTGAATCGTCACAGCAGGTAGGTATCGAATGGGGCGTGACGTCTATCACGTGACTCAACAAGGTATTGATTTTTACTCATGTGTGTCCGCTGGAGGCATCGGGGCTTTGAACTATGCCTCGTTCTGCTTCTTGCGTACAAGCACGGTTCTATATGGCTGTATGTATTAGCACAGTACTATATGGCTGTATGTATTAGCACAGTTCTTTATGCCGGTATGTATTAGCACAGTTCTATATGGCTGTATGTATTAGCACAGTTCTATATGGCTGTATGTATTAGCACAGTTTTATATGGCTGTATGTATTAGCACAGTTCTTTATGCCGGTATGTATTAGCACAGTTCTATATGGCTGTATGTATTAGCACAGTTCTATATGGCTGTATGTATTAGCACAGTTCTTTATGCCGGTATGTATTAGCACAGTTCTATATGGCTGTATGTATTAGCACAGTTCTATATGGCTGTATGAGCACAGTTCTATATGGCTGTATGTATTAGCACAGTTCTATATGGCTGTATGCATTAGCACAGTTCTATATGGCTGTATGTATTAGCACAGTTCTATATGGCTGTATGAGATAGTTCTATATGGCTGTATGTATTAGCACAGTTCTATATGGCTGTATGTATTAGCAAAGTTCTATATGGCTGTATGTATTAGCACAGTTCTATATGGCTGTATGTATTAGCAAAGTTCTATATGGCTGTATGTATTAGCACAGTTCTATATGGCTATATGTATTAGCACAGTTCTATATGGCTGTATGTATTAGCACAGTTCTTTATGCCGGTATGTATTAGCACAGTTCTATATGGCTGTATGTATTAGCACAGTTCTATATGGCTGTATGTATTAGCACAGTTCTTTATGCCGGTATGTATTAGCACAGTTCTATATGGCTGTATGTATTAGCACAGTTCTATATGGCTGTATGAGCACAGTTCTATATGGCTGTATGTATTAGCACAGTTCTATATGGCTGTATGCATTAGCACAGTTCTATATGGCTGTATGTATTAGCACAGTTCTATATGGCTGTATGAGATAGTTCTATATGGCTGTATGTATTAGCACAGTTCTATATGGCTGTATGTATTAGCAAAGTTCTATATGGCTGTATGTATTAGCACAGTTCTATATGGCTGTATGTATTAGCACAGTTCTATATGGCTGTATGTATTAGCACAGTTCTATATGGCTGTATGTATTAGCACAGTTCTATATGGCTGTGTGTATTAGCACAGTTCTATGTGGCTGTATGAGCACAGTTCTATATGGCTGTATTAGCACAGTTCTATATGGCTGTATGTATTAGCACAGTTCTATATGGCTGTATTAGCACAGTTCTATATGGCTGTATGGGCACAGTTCTATATGGCTGTATGTATTAGCACAGTTCTATATGGCTGTATGTATTAGTACAGTTCTATATGGCTGTATTAGCACAGTTCTATATGGCTGTATGTATTAGCACAGTTCTATATGGCTGTATGTATTAGCACAGTTCTATATGGCTGTATGTATTAGCACAGTTCTATATGGCTGTATTTGCACAGTTCTATATGGCTGTATGTATTAGCACAGTTCTATATGGCTGTATGTATTAGCACAGTTCTATATGGCTGTATGTATTAGCACAGTTCTATATGGCTATATGTATTAGCACAGTTCTATATGGCTGTATGTATTAGCACAGTTCTATATGGCTGTATGTATTAGCACAGTTCTATGTGGCTGTATGTATTAGCACAGTTCTATATGGCTGTATGTATTAGTACAGTTCTATATGGCTGTATGTATTAGCACAGTTCTATGTGGCTGTATGTATTAGCACAGTTCTATATGGCTGTATGTATTAGTACAGTTCTATATGGCTGTATGAGCACAGTTCTATATGGCTGTATGTATTAGCACAGTTCTATATGGCTGTATGTATAAGCACAGTTCTATATGGCTGTATGTATTAGCACAGTTCTATATGGCTGTATGTATTTGTACAGTTCTATATGGCTGTATGTATTAGCACAGTTCTATGTGGCTGTATGTATTAGCACAGTTCTATATGGCTGTATGTATTAGTACAGTTCTATATGGCTGTATGAGCACAGTTCTATATGGCTGTATGTATTAGCACGGTTCTATATGGCTGTATGTATTAGTACAGTTCTATATGGCTGTATGTATTAGCACAGCTCTATATGGCTGTATGTATTAGCACAGTTCTATATGAATGTATGTATTAGCACAGTTCTATATGGCTGTATGCATTAGCAAAGTTCTATATGGCTGTATGTATTAGCATAGCTCTATATGAATGTATGTATTAGTACAGTTCTATATGGCTGTATGTATTAGCACAGTTCTATATGGCTGTATGAGCACAGTTCTATATGGCTGTATGAGCACAGTTCTATATGGCTGTATGTATTAGTACAGTTCTATATGGTTGTATGAGCACAGTTCTATATGGCTGTATGAGCACAGTTCTATATGGCTGTATGCATTAGCACAGTTCTATATGGCTGTATGTATTAGCACAGTTCTATATGGCTGTATGTATTAGCACAGTTCTATATGGCTGTATGCATTAGCAAAGTTCTATATGGCTGTATGTATTAGCATAGCTCTATATGAATGTATGTATTAGTACAGTTCTATATGGCTGTATGTATTAGCACAGTTCTATATGGCTGTATGAGCACAGTTCTATATGGCTGTATGTATTAGCACAGTTCTATATGGCTGTATGTATTAGCACAGTTCTATATAGCTGTATGTATTAGCACTGTTCTATATGGCTGTATGTATTAGCACTGTTCTATATGGCTGTATGTATTAGCACTGTTCTATATGGCTGTATGTATTAGCAAAATTCTATATGAATGTATGTATTAGCACAGTTCTATATGGCTGTATGTATTAGCACTGTTCTATATGGCTATATGTATTAGCACAGTTGTATATGGCTGTATGTATTAGCACAGCTCCATATAGCTGTATGTATTAGCACAGTTCTATATGGCTGTATGCATTAGCAAAGTTCTATATGGCTGTATGTATTAGCATAGCTCTATATGAATGTATGTATTAGTACAGTTCTATATGGCTGTATGTATTAGCACAGTTCTATATGGCTGTATGTATTAGCACAGTTCTATATGGCTGTATGGGCACAGTTCTATATGGCTGTATGTATTAGCACAGTTCTATATGGCTGTATGTATTAGCACAGTTCTATATAGCTGTATGTATTAGCACTGTTCTATATGGCTGTATGTATTAGCACTGTTCTATATGGCTGTATGTATTAGCACTGTTCTATATGGCTGTATGTATTAGCAAAATTCTATATGAATGTATGTATTAGCACAGTTCTATATGGCTGTATGTATTAGCACTGTTCTATATGGCTATATCTATTAGCACAGTTCTATATGGCTGTATGTATTAGCACAGCTCTATATGGCTGTATGTATTAGCACAGTTCTATATGGCTGTATGTATTAGCACAGTTCTATATGGCTGTATGTATGATCACAGTTCTATATGGCTGTATGAATTAGCACAGTTCTATAAGTAGGCCCTATATATTTCCGAAATGACCAATGAAACATTATTACAAACGGAATCGCGGTATTGTCGTTTTCGGCAGCCATCATTACCATGACGACGGTAAAAAAATGTAGGTCAATCAACAGGCTAAGAATTTAGACCGCCATTCTCTCTTTGATGATACCACTATCCGAGCTTTGGTGTACATAGCAAAAAATAAGAATCGATATTTGAAGCTTGGGACCAAACTTTGAAGTATAGCACCCAGTCTAATATTCGACATAGAAGCATTTAGCTGAGACCATGACTCGAAATAAGAAACATTACGCTGAGTATACAACTCTAGACCATTGTAGGATATAATCGACACCGTGACTTGAGTAGAACATAAAGAGGAACGAAAGCTCTCATAAGTATCTAGCAAAAATGTCGAGATAAAATAATTTAATATGTAGAGTCTAAGTTAGACGCACTGATTTGTTGGACTGTTGTTTTTAATGTACACAGACGGGCCGACCTTTGAAACTATTCAGATTTGCGAACTAAATTCAATATTAGAAATCGATCTCTTGCTAATCGAAATTTACAAATCAATATCTTTGCATCAATAGGGAAAGGCGTAATTGGAGTCTTGCTAGTTCTGCCCACGGTGTCTGGAGATTTAAAATATATTTTGTTGGATAGCTCAATCTGATAAATAAATTAATAGAGCATTATGTTATAGAGATTTTCTCTGTGTGAACATTTCATGATGTGTAAATGTAACAATTTGTCTTGTATCTGGTATGAATAAAAAACAACAAAAGTACTTTATCTACACACACACACACACACACACATATATATATATATATATATATATATATATATATATATATATATATATATATAAATGCATATTTATGTATAGCTTGTTACATTTCGTAGTATTGTGAAAATGTTATATTTAATGTTTGAAAATTACCGCTAAGCAATTATACCCTCCTTCTCCACAACCCCGTACCTATCCCTTCCGTATCTGCATTGGTAGGGTTTGCGTTATGGGATATTGGTTTGTGTTGTGCAGGATGTCTAGTATATATATATATATATATATATATATATATATATATATATATATATATATATATATATATATATATATATATATATTTATATATATATATAAACAACGAATACATTTTATTTCTGTTAAACCTCTAGCATGAAATACTTAAGAATTTGACAGCATTGTCCTTCTGGCATAATCAATAATTTCACCACTAATCCATAACCTAAATCACTGATATGAGCACTACAAAATACTTAATAAAAGACAGAAATTAATATCAATGTTACATAACCCAATTCACTGCCATATATATTATTAAACCCCTACCCAAATGACACTGAAGTTCGCTCACACGATAGTGAAAGTAACACGAAACTGAAAGTTAAAAACGGGAAATCTCGCTTTTAGCTAATACTTTGCCGTCAAGGAGAAAATTAGAGGGGGGGGGGGGGGGGGGGGAACCAGGCCGTTTACGGGACCCACAGCCGACCATAATTAATTTTTTTTTTAAATTGGAATTTAATTTTCGTGCATTTTTGCCTTCATATTTGGTTTGTAAAAAAATACTTAAGCTGCGGTACGAGTTATCTTTATTTATTTAAATCCATTACACAAACTCTAGTGTAAAATATAGGCTCAACTGCAAATTTTAATGACTTATGTGACTCGTTTCTCCCCTTTGATAGATAAATAGGGGACACGTAACGGTTCGAAAGTAATTCTGACAATCCAACTAAATAAGAAACACACTGTGAAGTAGTTTTATTTATCGAAATAAATGTTAAAATTGAGATTTCAAAGTAAAATAAAAATACTGAAGTAACACAATGAAAAAATAGTTTAATGATTACTTGGTTCTAAAAAAGTAAAATAAAAAAAATGCAAACAAGCAAATTATAATAGACTTAAAAAGCTGGATCCAAATGATTCCAAATTTGTGTTGGCAAAAAATACATTTTTTTTCAACCAAGATTAAATATATTTTATAACATTTGTGTAATAACTACAAAATAAATTCCGATTTCATTAAGGCTAGAAACAGCCAAAGAAATAATTACTAGGAATATAATTGTAATTTAGCAAACACGTTTATTTTTAATTTGGATTAGTAGAGTCAGATCGTTGCGGTGATTGGGGATGTTATATTATTTAATATAATTAATACAATACTGCGCTATACAACATAGACCACTATTGTGTATTTTTATTACGCAAAACAGTTGTTCTGACTGTTTTTGAAATCATTTAAAATAATAAAATAATTCTTAAAGGCTTTTACACGGCTTTCAATTAGATACAAAAATATAAAAATGAGTTTTTCTATAGTTCTCAAACTGATTTAATTTTTACAAATGTAACTATAATTTTATCGCTTGCCGTATTTTTAAAAAGATTTTTTTTTTAAATTTAGTATGATTACATAGCCTTTTTTATCATGATTGTTGTTTAATTTATCGGATTTTTAATGCGGATTGTATTTTTTTTCTCTCGCATAAATATTTGGTGCCATGGCATTTTTTTTCATCTCCATATTATTTCACGCCCAGAGCTCACGTTCTATGACTGTGTCGTCTTGCCCATTTACAACTCTGCTGTCATCGTAATTTCCTGATAAACAAATATAATTAACACATCTTAGCTATAAATATATGCAAAATACGCACAAAAAAGAATAAGCAAATACACACACAAATATATATATATATATATATATATATATGTATATATATATATATATATATATATATATATATATATATATATATATATATACATATATACATATATATATATATATATATATATATATATATATATATATATATATATATATATATATATATACATTAAGATAGAGGAAGATAGCGAGAGAAATAGTTACATCGCTGTACCACAACCACTGTCCACCATAGAGCCATTGTCCTGACAGCCATCACACCGTTGTTGTCGCTTCTCTAAAATCTCTTCAGCTGTAGACCTTATGACGTCCCAGGAAAACAAGATATCGTCTTCTGTAGTGCGGGGTGTACACACGCTAAACCTGGACATTGGATGGGAATGTTAGGGTTAGGAAGAGGTAGAGAGATAGACTACTAACCCGAAAGTTTCGAATTCAGGTTCAAATCAGTGGAACCTCCCAGAGTCCACCCAGCTCTGATTCTGATGGGTACCTAATTAGGGAAAAAAAGGCGGCTGTGCATAGTGCTGATCACACTATTCCTTCGTATACCGAGCTCAATGAACCAGATGAACTCTATATCATCTGCCCCATGTGTCTTGGGCACAAACGGAGAGAAGAAGAAGAAGTCAGTGAGACTAGTATAGTGCATTAGCGCCTGTGTTAGTGAATAAACTGACAGTCGGAGACAGCTAACGCGCAAAGAAATTATGTCAACAAATATTTAGCGAAATGGATTAATTGACCAAATTTATCGGACCCACATGAGTCAGTATTTAACGTCTAAATTTGTTTCCAGAGTCGGCGAGGCTTAGCGTCCCTGAGTCCACCCAGCTCTGATTGGTACCCAACTCGCGTTATAGAAAGTTAAAGCGGCTGATCATAGAGCCGACAACACATTCCCTTCATACACCGAGGCAAGAGAAACAGGTGAACTCTACTGCACTTATCCTATGAACCTCCAGGTTCGAAATCTTATATTTGTTTTCAACATCACTGATCTGACTTTTCTCTGATAGTTATGCGGATGATGATGATGATGATTATGATGATATTGATGATGGTGGTGATGATGATAATGATAATGATAATGATAATGATAATGATAATGATAATGATAATGATAATGATAATGATAATGATAATGATAATGATAATGATAATGATAATGATAATGATAATGATAATGATAATGATAATGATAATGATAATGATAATGATAATGATAATGATAATGATAATGATAATGATGATGATGATGATGATGATGATGATGATGATGATGATGATGATGATGATGATGATGATGATGATGATGATGATTATGATGATATTGATGATGGTGGTGATGATGATAATGATAATGATAATGATAATGATAATGATAATGATAATGATAATGATAATGATAATGATAATGATAATGATAATGATAATGATAATGATAATGATAATGATAATGATAATGATAATGATAATGATAATGATAATGATAATGATAATGATAATGATAATGATAATGATAATGATAATGATAATGATAATGATAATGATAATGATAATGATAATGATAATGATAATGATAATGATAATGATAATGATAATGATAATGATAATGATAATGATAATGATAATGATAATGATAATGATAATGATAATGATAATGATAATGATAATGATAATGATAATGATAATGATAATGATAATGATAATGATAATGATAATGATAATGATAATGATAATGATAATGATAATGATAATGATAATGATAATGATAATGATAATGATAATGATAATGATAATGATAATGATAATGATAATGATAATGATAATGATAATGATAATGATAATGATAATGATAATGATAATGATAATGATAATGATAATGATAATGATAATGATAATGATAATGATAATGATAATGATAATGATAATGATAATGATAATGATAATGATAATGATAATGATAATGATAATGATAATGATAATGATAATGATAATGATAATGATAATGATAATGATAATGATAATGATAATGATAATGATAATGATAATGATAATGATAATGATAATGATAATGATAATGATAATGATAATGATAATGATAATGATGATGATGATGATGATGATGATCATGATCATGATCATGATCATGATGATGATATGTTGGTTACCTGATGACGTAGCTCCCGTTCAACATACCAGGGACCATGTGTACCCTCCCCTTTTTGACTACTGTCTCCAGCAGCTGCTCATTCAGATCGTTCGAACCCTAAGAACACAATCATTTAAACCTTAGTTTTTCAATATGCTTCAAGAATTTTTTTATTACACGAATTCATCCCATTTAAAAAGATTGTACTACATTTAGCTCGTGAAGAAAAAAGCAACGCTAGCCATATAAAGGGAGTGGGACGGCGTGGTCGAATGGTAGAGCGTATGACTGCTAGCCTGAAAGTATCGAGTTCGACTTGTGACTGTATGTCGTACCTGAGTTTACTCAGCTCTGATGGGTACCCGACTTACGTTAAGAAAACAAAGTGAGCTGAACATTGAGCTGACCACATTAACCCCTCTATGCCGTGGTTATTGTAACAGATGAACTGTATTTCATCTCCACCAAGTGTCTCGGGCAAAAACGAAAAACAAACTATAATATAAACGGATGGTGAGGTCAGCACTGTGCCCAGCTGCCTTTTATTTACCATGAACTTCAAAAAGTATCCATCAAAGCAAGCTGGACTAAGGGACGTCCTACACCTTCAATTCCATCATAATAACTGGACTTTCGGGTCAGTGGTCAATCGCTCTGTCGCTCGGCCACAGCATCCCATCTATAATTATTATGCTTATAATACAAAATATTTTCCATTAGTTCATCGAATGAGTACGTATGTGTGAGTGTATACTTATATGTATGTAAGAGTCCTTGTGCGTGTGACTGTGTGTATTCATTAGTTCGTAGGCTATGCCTTTGCATAAGTGAGTAGGCCTATCTGTGTGTATGTACAAGCAAGCGTGTGTTTACACGTGTAATTGTGAGTTTACGTTTGTAAATGTATCGGCTCTGTTTATGTCTGTACGTGTCAGTTTGCGTGTTTAAGTGTGCATATGCATGTGCGTAAGTGTTAGCAGTAAGCTTCGCGCGCGTGTGTGTGTGTGTGTGTGTGCATGCGCGTGTGTGTTAAGCAGCTTCGCTCACCCGAAGCCTGAAGCAGACGAGACCCAGCGTCACCTTGGCGACGACCTCGAACCTCTCGTCTGCTGCCACTTGAGCTTCAAAATATTTTCCCAGTCGCACGTGCTGCAGATAGAATTATGCGTGAGTACCTCGATCCCAAACACGAAGTATGTCTTGTGAAATTAGTGTCCCCTGATTCACATTCACCCCCCCCCCCCCCCCGCCCATCTACAAAACTTTTCTTTATATTCGGCTATATTTTCTTTTCTGAAATTTTTCTGTTAAACTTCCATTATAGTTTTCAATAACCTCAGTAACCAATTTTTATTTCGTACTCTCTTCTTTTAGACATGTCATAACCTACTATGCTATCGAATGACTTCAGACCCACACACCAATTTAAGTGTTAACACATTTTTTTCTAATTTTTCTAGACTTTCTCTTCGAAGCCACCATTTTAAACCACTCCCCACTTTACCATGACATATTCTGTAACGGCCACCCCCCCTCCCCCCTCCCAAACAACGCCTAGGTTTACCTCTCTGATCCTACCTGAAGACCCTATAGCCCGTACGTCCCCCCCCCCCCAAACAACGCCTACGCTTACCTCTCTGATCCTAGCCTGAAGACCCTCCAACCCGTAAGTCCTGATGACGAACCAAACCTTCAGTGCCTGAAATCTGCGGGACAAATGGATTCCTCGGTGCTGTGTGAAAGGAAATAAAAAAAACAAATCTACAACTTCCTAAAAATAAAAACAATGGCTGTTTTGTTGGTAAAATCATACCATACAAGGCGACACATTCAATGAATGAATCAGTTCGTGTACAAATTCACAACGACAATACGTTACATTTGCGTTTCCTACCGGACATTTAGATGTCTAGGATAAATAAGAACAAACTTTGTACTAAAATAATGGATCATCAAACTCCATTCCTAGATTAATACTCGATCATAACATTTTCCTCAATAATACTAAAAGCTGCTTCTTAGAGCTTACCTAATCTAACAAGTACTAGAACAAAAAATATATCAACACAGACAAATACTGCACCATCAAATTATTCCTACTCTTTAAAATACTGTACCATCAAATTGTCCCCAGCCAGATCAATAAAATTTTCAAATTGTCCCTACCCTGATATCCAAGGACTCGTCTCCATGTTTGTGTTTCAGATACAAAGGGTCAACGGTCAACGAACTGGTCAGTGTTTTGAGATTCCTTACCCTTTGGATGTAAATACATTTGATTCTTTAAAACAATAAGCAACAATATAAAAAACACAACATTAGGTATAAAAAATACCCTTTTAAAACTGGAGGTGAAGAACGGTCCACCTGTTTTAGTGAATATCAGAATATAAAGGAAATATGGTCAGCACTATTAATTTTCCTAACATGGGTTAGGTACTCATCAGAGCTGGATGGACTCAGGGACTTTCTACTGTCTTAAACCCGGATTCGAATTTGAGACTTTCGGGTTAGCATTCTAGCGCTCTACCACTTGATCACAAAACTGGAAAAGCTATGAAGTAAAGGTCTTGGATTTTATAGCCCTAATCTAGTCTACCTATACTTGAGTTTTCACGATACCAGTTTTGACTTGTTTTTAACACGTCAGCTAGAAAGCATATTCGTGCCTAAAATGTCTGTTGCTGTCACAATCTAGCTCTCTTTCTCTTTTAAGAGAAATATTGTTGTAATATATGAAATAGTTCCCAGAAAAATGCGCAATCAAAAACTGTACAAATAGAAAAAGCGCAAATACAAAATAATTGTACTATTACACTTTAATTTTCGCATTTACACTTGCGCACTTGTTTTGTGCGCAGTTTTCTGTAGCGCAGTTTTCCGTTGCGTATATTTCCGGTCACCGTATACAATTGATAATTTGTATATAATAAAAAATACATACCACATCATGGAACCATCCACACCGACTTGAAGTAGCTTGTAGGGATTTAGACAAAACGAGTCGGCGTGCTACAGAAATAGAAATTGAATAAATGGCTTCGTACTTCAACGTCGGGATGGATTGAGAGTGGATATTTATGACGTGTTGTGATGAAAGAAATGGGAAATGGGGTGTAAAAAAGTGTAACTACTCGCTGTTGCATTTTAAAGTAATTGTTTGCTTAACCGAAAAGTCTCGAGTTCGAACCCCCGGGCAGCTGAGGCTCGTTAGCTGAGGACAGCCACTCATGTAGGAGAGACAGCTCCAAAATCAAACAACTGCTTCCTTGTAGTTTGTTCTTGGTTGGACAAAGGCTATGGAAGCAAATTCAAAAAGAAAAAGCAGGCTGAAATCGGAGTCAACAGCTTATATGGCCAAAAACAGCTTACGTTGCATTACCACTACATCTTCCCACACCGTCATTACCAAATACATCTCCCCCCATCATCATCGTTACCAAACACACCTTCCCCCATCGTCATTACCAAATATACCATCCTCCATCATCATTACCGTATACAACTTCCCCCATGGACATTACAAAATATAAATCCCCCTTAACATCATTTTAAATACACCTCCTTCATCACTACCAATATAACTATCCCCCATCATAACGAATACACTCACCTCCACACCATTCATAAAGTGCTGAAATTCCGGACAGACGAAAGCTCCCCCTGCGTACGCCGCGTCAATGTGCAGGTAGACGCCATGTTTGGTGCACACCTCCCCCACCTCTTGCAGGTTGTCAAACGAGCCGCAGGTTGTCGTGCCCAAGGAGGCGCACACCTGCAACAAATCAGAGGTGTTTTACTAATCAATCAAAAAAACATGAACGGAAATGTATTAATTAGCAGCTATACTGAATCAACAAGACTAGTAGATTGAAAAAGACTATAAAATATTGTAGACTCTAATGTTTAACTTACAAAAAATGGTACCAGACCAAGTCTTATGTCTTCCTGTGGAAAAAAAAGAAAGTTAGAATATTTAAAAAATTATAATTACTGTTACAAAACTACACGAAAGTTTTTGCTCTCAAATTAGAATTTTAGAGGTCAAAACCTACTCTACTCTGCAGAACGATGTTAGAGATCATCCATTTTTAACGTACACATTTTTATTTTATTTCAAGACCCCAACCTCCTCCACGATGTACACTTTACCTGACCCCCCCCCCCTCCCACATGTCCAATCCACATGCCAAAGGTCGATTATTTCGGACCCTCCCCAATGTGGATGTCATAAATGTACGATCCCCACCTAAGTAAAAATATGGAGGCAGATTCTAAATTTAAAAAACAAAGTATAAACATGTAAACATTGTTGTTTTTCAAGCTTTAATTAATTTAATGTGTGGGGGACTCTGTTAAGAGAGGTCTTTAAAGGCTATAATTATTTTCATTGTTGAAGATTAAATAAATTTTGGGGGTGGGGCGAGGGATCATGTGAAGACTGACCTGCATAGCTTTCTCCAACACGTCGCCCCTGAGTGAGAAGTTCTCGTCATGCTCCAGTTGTCTCAGCTTGACAAACCCGATCAGCGCCGCCTTCTCCACGCTTGAGTGAGCCTGGTAATGTAGGAATCTTTAAGGAAATATCATAATTTTTTAGGAAATATCAGAATTTTTAAAGGAATTAACAGAATATTTTAGGAAATATTCGATTTTTCATCGAAAAACGTAGTCAGTCTTTCACTTCTACACCGCTTTTTAGTGTATTTTTATCCAGGTTCTGCTATATTTATACCTTCACAATAAAATACTTAAAAAAAAAACTTTTTAAAAAACCACGTTTTTCTTGTGGACTAAAAAGTAGAAAATAACTATTTACATACATTTGATGACAAAAAACGTGGGTACGTTCACCATCAAATTTCCCGACCCATCTGCCCGACCCACGTTTTTTGTCATCAAATGTATGTAAATAGTTATTTTCTACTTTTTAGTCCACAAGAAAAACGTGGTTTTTTAAAAAGTTTTTTTTTAAGTATTTTATTTTCTCCTTTTTAGTCCGTTGCTACACATGAAAAACGTGGTTTTTAAAAAGTTTTTTATATAGTTTATTTTCTACTTTATCTAATCACTTGATTAAGTATGACTTGACTAAGTGTTTTTAAATACACGGACTAAAAAAATCTTGAGCGACCGATACGCTTTAAACAGAGAAAGGGTGTAATTTACGTTGCTGGCGTGGAGATCTACTCACGAATCACGTGATCAAATCTCCCATAAACAAACAAATAAACGCGAAGCTGAGTTAAGGAAAAACGCGTTTATGTGTATTTTAGCATGCCCAGCGTACCAACCGTGTCACCGTTAACAATGTGTTACCGTGTCCGTTCTCCGTTTTAGTCCGTTGCTACACATAAAAAACGTGGTTTTTTAAAAAGTTTTTTTTAAGTATTTTATTTTCTCCTTTTTAGTCCGTTGCTACACATGAAAAACGTGGTTTTTAAAAAAGTGTTTATAAATACACGGACTAAAAATCTTGAGCGACCAGGATTCGAACCTGGGTTGTCGCGGCCACAACGCGAAGTACTAACCACTATACGATCACGGCCAGCGCGCTCACATCGATTTGGGCCGAAGTAACTGTGTCAATAGGACTGCAGTCTTGTCGGTATCTTTAGAAATCATGTCCTCAATTTTATGGTCCTTGGGGCGTAATTAAATTAAGCTAATTACGGTCACTAATTGCTAGTTTTTATGATTGCATCTGAAATTGTTAGGCGAAAGTAGCATGCATGCCAAATTTCAGGTCTCTAGAGCAATCAGAAGTGGGCTAATTTTCGATGTCAATTTTAACAACAAACATCCAAACAAACAAACGCGAAGCTGAGTTAAGAAAAACGTTTTAAAAATGCATTCCAGTATTCAATGCGTTTCTTATTTGAAATGTTTTATTTTCCTAATTTAGTTTAGTTAAAAACTCGCTATAAATAATTTTAAATAAGTGTTTTAACCTACTGAGCTCTTGGTGTTTAATGTATTTTCACATCATTTTCATTTAATTACTTAATACTAATTGAGATTAAGAAAAAAATGGCAGTTTCTAGGCGGCGTATAAAAATTTAAAAGTAAATCCTTACGAAAATAGATTGCGGGAATAAATGGGCATGATAAAATTGCTAGTTTCATTTATAAGGATAAAGTATAAGCAAACTTTTGAGAAGGTTTTTGGTATGCGAAAAGAGTTCGTTTCTAGAATATAGACCGATATTCTAATTTTTCCTTAGAACTTACGATCCTTTGGGTGGATGAAGTAGACTCACATATGAAGAGAAGGTGTGGTTAGCCGCTTTTACTTTCTCTAACATGAGTTAGGTGTCCATTAGAGCAGCGTGTACTCTGTGGCGTTCTACTAAAATAGACCCGAATTCGAACTCGAGACTTTCGGGTTAGCAGCGTAACGCTCTAGCTCTTAGACCACGCCTTCCATTCACCCGTCTTTACTGTTCCTATATATTCCTATGAGCAGAAACGGAAATGTCTTACGGACAAAAGCCCGTGAACGGAACTCAAACAGTACCGATGGGTAGAGTACAGCGACTTGTAATTCTGAACGTAACAGAAAACCGAGGATGGGTAGAGTACATTGACTAGTAATTCTGAACGTAACATAAAAACAGAGGATGGGTAGAGTACAGCGACTAGTAATTCTGAACGTAACACAAAAACAGAGGATGGGTAGAGTACAGCGACTTGTAATTCTGAACGTAACACAAAAACAGAGGATGGGTAGAGTACAGCGACTTGTAATTCTGAACGTAACACAAAAACAGAGGATGGGTAGAGTACAGTGACTAGTAATTCTGAACGTAACACAAAAACAGAGGATGGGTAGAGTACAGCGACTTGTAATTCTGAACGTAACAGAAAACAGAAGATGGGTAGAGTACAGCGACTTGTAATTCTGAACGTAACACACAAAAACAGAGGATGTGTAGAGTACAGCGATCCACCAGTTTGGAGCTGTAGGCGACAAGTTTAGAGAGCATCTCCCCCGGTTCCCTGTGGGGGTGGGTGGTCTTGAGCCCCTGGATGGTCCGGTGTCTGGCCGACAGTAGGGCGATCAGCACGCACTCGCTGGCTGAGCTCTGGGGAGATGGGAGGGTTATTACATAAGGGCAGGATTATGATTATTGTGTAGACTGCTGTAAGGGATAAACCTTAGTTAAACGTGGTAGAAACTCTGAGGATTATTGTATAGACTATTGTAAGGGATAATCCTAAGTTCAATTTCAAAACTAGAGTAAGTATTAAAGGAATGAGTATGGCGGGTGGGTAAAACGAATTTACAAAGCATGTTAGTATGACTACTGAAGAAATAGAAAGGTTGTTACACAAGAGCAGGATTATTATGTTCTTAAGTAGGATAATCGTATAGAATATTGTAAGAAATATGCCTAAGTTAAATTACAGAACAAGAGTTACAGTTAACTGTATGAGTATGGCTGATGAATAAAACGAATTAAAAAAGCGTTTTGGAGAGAACTAATATGTGATTTGTAAGGTTTTTTAAAGTGCACGAATACCATAAACGTTTTACTTAATTTACTAATTTTGAAATTGTTTCATATAACAGTTCCCCGGGCACCGGAAAGGGGAAAAATTGGTAACGATAGTTATATACCCATCAGAGCTTGGTACTATGCTAAACTCAGGGATGTTCTACAGACTTGAACCAGGATTCAAGCTCTTTACCGCTTCGCCACTCCGTCCAACCTTACAACAATATTTAATCTACATAAAACAAAAGTAAAAAAAAATGAAAATGACTTTACCTGTATACAACCGCCTCCTTGTCCGCTAGAGTTCATGAAATGTTCTGGTAATCCAACCATTTTTCCTGAATACAGTAACTCATGTTGTTAAGTCCTCAAAAACTACAACATACTCTTCTTGGTTCTTAATTAGAATATTGGAAGGTATCCCCTGCAGCACAATTAAGGATACGTGTCAACTGGTTATGCGCCGTTGAGGCCATTGAATCCGATTTCAGCGTGCTTTTCTTTTTGGATTAGCTTCCATAGCCTTTGTCCAACCAATGACAAACTACAAGGCAGCAGTTGTTTGATTATGGTGTTGTCTCTCCTAGAAGAGTAGTGTTTCCAGCTAATGAACTCGAGACTTTTCGATTTAGCAACATTGAGCTTTACCGACTCGACCACGCCAACCCCTTACAACATATTAATAGGAAATATTTACCACTACAAGAACTCAAGACAAAAGGGAGGTTGCAAAAGTAATACCCGGGGACCGGACAAATGGAAGTGTGTGGTTGAGGCCCTATGTTCCACAAGGAGCGGAGAGGATTAAGTCCAAGTCAAGACCACGACAAAGCAACAGACACCCAATCAGTTTGGTTATGAAAGATTGTGTGACCTACCGACCCAATCCAGCACCAAATACTCCAACTCCACGCCAGCAGGACTTGAAGCCTACATAAGATAGAAGCAGATGAAACAGTGATGTATCATCTGCTAAGTGTAGTTAAGTTAGAGTGAAATATCACGTAACAGATGATAAGTACAGGTACCGTTTTAGACATAACGATCCATTATGCACATAAATAAGAGTTTATATGTTTTTTAACCTAGGATTGTGGATGGATGGTATAATCAGCACTGTGCCCAGCCGCCTTTACTCTCCCATCAGGTAGCCATTAGAGCTAGGTTGACTCAATGACGCCCCTAAACTTAAAAGAATTGGAACTAGAAACTTTCAGGCTAGAATCGTACTATAGACACATTTTCATCAGTATTGCTCATTTGAAGCGGCTGTTCATAGGGTATATTTCATCAGTTTATTTGATCGTGGCGTTTAAATAGATAGCGTGGTACTATACCAAGCAGACTATACTTTCCTTACTATGAGTTAGGTATACACCAGAGCTGGGATGATTCTCTAACGACCTCAGGAATCAAATATGGTAACCGAACACTAGACTTTTAAGTTTGAATTGGAATGTTTTACTTTTATTTAATCTATCCGTACATTTTTAAAAAGTCAGTGACCCCCCCCCTCTCCATTCACACTGCTATACGAAAACGAATCTCTCTCCAGTTAGCACTTTGCTCCCCACCTTACCCAAGAAAACGGCAGGATTCCAAGACCATCCGCCAGCATGTCCGATAAGATAGACGTGTAGGAGTGACCGATGGGCAGGAAGGCGTGGAAGTTTGGATGTTGCCAATGGACCATCTGAAAATGGTAATTAAAAAAATTATTTCAAATTCAAGATGGTTCAGGTAGCGACTGTAAATTGTAGTTGTTTGTACCGCTCTAGAAATAATCATAATCTTTTCGCGTTCGTGCCCAAGACATACTGGGCAGATGAAGTAGAGTTATTCTGTTTCAGAGACCTCGGCATTTGAAGGTATAGTGTAGTCAGCACTATTCGCTTTGTTTTCTTTAACGTGAGTTTGGTAAACATCAGAGTTGTGTGTACTCAGAGTAGTTGTACTGACTTGAACCCGGATTCGAACTCGAGACTTTCGGGTAAATACTCTAGTTCTCTACCGCTAGGGCATGCCTTCTCCCAAGTTATATATTGATACTCTGGATAGTGAGAAAGAAACGTTGCACGCACATATTCAAGCCCTGGTGATAAACAAATAGTCTTCAAAAGAAAAGTAGAAAAAACATGTCGAGGAATACCCCAACAATTCTTCTTCTAATTTTTTCAATTATAAAATTAATTTCTTCCAACACAGCTAAGTATTACGTGTCATTTTTTATGCGGTATATAGCCCGTTGACTCCGATTAAAGCATGCAACACTCAAAAAAGTATAGAAATAAATTCAATCATTACTTGAGTTCCTATCACGATTTTCAGCAAAGTCATGAACGAAAAAGAAATATAATCATTTGAAGTTTTTAAAACATTTGATTGGTCTAAAATGAAATTACACCTTTAGAAATGAATATATAATATTTCGAATTAAGTCAATTATAAATATTATTAAAAATATGAAGTACATTTTATTTGTCATTACTAGTTGACTTATATATTCTTTTTCTTGTATTCAAAGAAAAGAAAGTATTGTAATCGTGCAAGTTGAGTAAGTACCACTTCCGATTACCGGAAATCGTAAACATATCTGTAAAACGTCGAGATTTGTGAAAATCTCGATTTCAATTTTCTGAGAAGAAGAAATGTTATTTACGAGCTTGTTCAAGGGAGATCACTCCCTTTTTATTTAACTTTACTTAATACAATCAGACTAAATTCAACAACAAAAATACAAAGACATTTTTTATACTTCCAAAATAGTAAATAAAAACAAAGACAATTAGAAGAAAAAATAAATATACTAGCCCCTGGCATAACTGCCTTCTCGAAGTCAGCCATAATGGATTCCCATTTCTCTCCCTTTTCCGGGGCGTTTTCCGGAAGTAGTTTCCTTAAATAGCCGATCTCCACATCCGGCAGAACTTTCTTGGACCGGATGTTGTCCACGTAGTCAGCGATGAAGTCCATCACCTCAGCTCCTCTTCTTTTAAACTCTAGCGTGTCCATACTGCTGTCTGGTTTGAGGATGATTTAAATATCTTTACTGTCTCGTATATACAAAGTATAGAGAAAGTCTTATCATCGTGCAAAAAATTCGAGATTTTTGCAAATCTCGACGTTTTACACCTCCCTGAGTCGGAAAACATAGTTTTGCAATCTTGTCCGTATGTCTGTCTGTGTGTGTGTATGTGTCTGTGTGTGTGTATGTGTGTAAACACGATAACTTGGGTACCGTTATAGCTAGGTTGATGACATTTCATATGTATGTATCATATCAAAATCGTAGATCGGTATCAACTTTTGAGCGATTTCCAATAACCGGAAGTGGAACTTTTTCTTCTTTGAATTTTTCAAAAGCCTATAACTTGAGTACTATTTCAGATAGATAAATGAAATTTCTAGAAGATCTAATACTCTGCCTTCTGTCAAATTTTGAGTAATTTCCGTTGACCGGAAGTAGTAGTTTTCGCTATTTCCGATTTCTCAAAAAATACGCATGTGAATTTGTGAAGTATTAATAACGAGCCGGCCCGCGGCATAACATACGCCGCTATTTAGTTGTTTCTAATTTTCAATAATTCATAATTTGTGAATTCGACAGTACCAACGCTGACACTGAAAATATTTCTTTAAAACACTATAAGTAGCTCGTTAAGGACCATAACCCCCCCTTCCTTCCCTCCCCCTCCCTTCCTTCCCTCCCCCCCTCCTCCCCCCCCCCCCCCCCCTACGTTTAAAATCGTTGGCTCTGCTTGTAAACATTTAGAGTGAACACAGCTCACTAAAACCATGTAGGGGTGGGGAGGTAGGGAGAGCGTTTGCAGCTTGTTTTCTAACGGCTCGAAGAGGAGAATTATATATATAGATATTCAGTACTATTAATTATGTACATTTTGTTTGGCGTTCACTTGGTGTGCAATTCTTTTTTCTACAAGATTTTTTTTTCTTTTAAAAGTTTAATCCAAAAGGATTAAAAATCATGTCTATATCCCCAGTTGCCATCCCCTGTTGTTTTAGATAAGAATATTCGAGAAAGTTTAGTGGAGATCACTACCGGTTTATTTTTAAACGATATGCTTTTACTTGAAATAAAAGTTACACATCATATTTTTAAATATATAGAAATTCCTAAAAAAAATTAATGTTTTTGGTAGGCCCTATTTATAATTTAGATTTAAAATAGAATTATGAAACGCTTGCATAGATAAAAGAAATATTATTGAGGATACTGTGAGGTACCTGGGTCATATCGGGTAAAATTAAGGTGGTTGCGAATCTATAGGAAAAATATGTAAACATTGTTGTATATTTTACCATTTAAATTCTATTACTTTTTATCTTTTGAAATCTGTAATGTGATTTTATTTTATATGGCCTATGTTGAATAGCAGTGGTTGAATAAAAAATGTTAAATGGGATATTGAATTTGGAAATGGCCTAGTTGTAGAGAGCTATACACGAAAGTCTAGAGTTCGAATCCGAGTTTCAGTCAGTAGAGCGTCCACCCAGCTCTGATGGGTACCTAACTTACGTTATGGAAAGCAAAGGCGGCTGGGTATAATGCTAACCACACTATCGCTTCATATGTCGAGGTCTTTACTTCATCTGCCCCATGTGTCTTAGGCACTAACGGGAAAAGATGGTGCTTCCATTAGGAAATTACATTTTATAAGTTATAAAAAAAAATACTAGAATCACATGGTTTAAGATATTATTAAACAAACAAATCATTAAATAAATGATACGCTACCTTATATTTTTTTTAATAAATAATTAGGTAAAATATTGATTTGATAAAAAACGATTCAATAGTTGATTTATGAATCTGAATTTAGTTAATATACAATACTGAATTTAATATTGATAATTTAATGTTGATAACAATCTCGTTACGTTATTTAAAACTCACGAGTACAGACTTAATTACATATTTCACGAAACACAAAACTCCAAGGGAAATAAAAATAAAACAGTGAAGAGTTATTTATAACCCTGTCCTCGGTGTCATCAAAGTGGCATCACTGAGAATTGGGTCAAAGTCCAGCCAATGAGAGCAAGCCCGTGTTGTGTAATGTGAAAAAGTGAGACAGTTGACAGACTTCCCATATAGAACTAGTTGCATGCATGCTGTTTCGTGAAGGTGAAGCATTCATGCCTAGTCATGGTCATAAGGTGTTGCTAATAGAGTACCTGGTGCAACATGGGACAAGAGATTTTAGATAATTAAAAAAAAGAAGATAAGTTTGATCAACACTGGATTAACACACACTCACACACACTCGAACACACACAAACACACATGTACACAATATATATATATATATATATATATATATATATATATATATATATATATATGTATATATGTATATATGTATATAAATATATAGGCCTTGGTATTTTCAATATTTATATACATATATATATGTAATCAAATATAGGCCTAATAATACAGATATATCGCTGGGCAACCCGCCTTATTAAAATAACTGTTACAAATACTGTAGTCCACACAGTTGATAGTAAAGGTGTAATGGTATGAAGCAACAATTCAAAAGTGCGTTGTTTAGAGGAAGAATATGATCGCAGCTTTAGGATTTAACATAGTTTAAAATCGAATTTATAATAACGGTCATGAATAGGGTCAACATTTATCCATGTTGAGATTAACGACACCACTTAGATTAGATCCGACTGTCGTTTATTCAGTACCACAAGCTGCCTCAATAAAACATGGGATTAATAGCTTTAATGTATATTTACATAATACTCTAGCATAGCTGTAACACTGCCTCAATGAGGATAAGGTGTAATGATCACCCACTGTTGTGTAGTGTGTTTACGGGCTGACCTTCATACGCAGCAAAAACAACGAGATCAGCTGATTTATTGCGTACAGAGAATTGCAATTTCCAGTACAATAGCAAGTACATAGATAGATCTATAGCCCTTGATAAGGTCTATACACAACTCGTTATTCAATGCCCGTGTCAGCAACTGCCATGGTCACTCGCAGCCTGGATTTCAATGTCTCGGACACAGACGCAGCTACCCAGCGTCCCAGAGGTCACATGACATCAGAAACATTGCTCACTTATACATTTTATACATACAAATAAGCTACTTTTTCATATTTCTTAGCTATAAGATATACATTTTCCTAGCTCTAACTATGGGATATAGATTGGTTTTTTTTTCAAAAGTTTTTTTTTTTTAGATATTGCAATAAACGCGTAGGCCTAATTACAAAATGCTAAACACAATTATATTCAAATTATATAAATAAAACTGAAAATGGAGCAACTCAAATATGTATCGATGTAGTATATTTAATATTATTAGTCATTATTCAGCTGCTTTGACATACGTCTCTTGTTCATTAGCTCACAAGAATAAAAAATAAGTACCGTCTAGCTTTGTATTCATTTTTTTAGAACCTATTTAGATCTATTATGTGGTTCAGTGATGTTATTTTATCTAACGTATAAATCCGGGTATTAAAATGCTCCCGGTACATTTTTAGAAATAACGAGCCGGCCCGCGGCATAACATACGCCGCTATTTAGTTGTTTCTAATTTTCAATAATTCATAATTTGTGAATTCGACAGTACCAACGCTGACACTGAAAATATTTCTTTAAAACACTATAAGTAGCTCGTTAAGGACCATAACCCCCCCCCCCCCCTTCCTTCCCCCCCCCCCCTCCCCCCCCCCTACGTTTAAAATCGTTGGCTCTGCTTGTAAACATTTAGAGTGAACACAGCTCACTAAAACCATGTAGGGGTGGGGAGGTAGGGAGAGCGTTTGCAGCTTGTTTTCTAACGGCTCGAAGAGGAGAATTATATATATAGATTTTTAAACAACGTCACACATTATTTTGAATCTAAATGCCGATAAAAAAAAAATTAACAAAAACAAACCATTATTAACAAGCTTTTATATTTGCACTAAAAGAAAGAATTTTTTTTCTAAAATAGCGCTAAAAAACCATAAAGAAAATCGAGGTCGCCATGTTATGTATTTAATAACTGCACTGAACAAACATTGTATAAACGACCCGCGTAAAACCCCCCCGATCTAATAATTTTTTCGCAATCGCTGGATTACACTTTAACTTATGTTAGTTGTGGGATTTGAATAAAAAAATATAATTAATAAGATATGAGTAATTAGGTACAAAAGCCATCCGTATTTACTCTGTTCATACCCGTGGCTTTGGTTCAAAATAAAATTAATTAAAAATGAGTAATTAGATATTAAATTTAATAACTCTGAAGCTCATACATTACGTACATCAACAAGGTTATGTTTTATTAATAACGTGAATAATATTATTAACTGGGTCAGCGAAAGTGCAGAATTTTTACGGCTGTAAGCAATAGTACTATGTTTCATTATCTACCATTCGATAGTTTTCCTGTTTAATAGATGTATTCAAATTTTCTTTGCGTGACTCAAGGTTGTGGTAAAGTATATGTAGGTAAATTGTCCTTAAGCCAGATAATTGGCTACCTCAGAATACAGATAACTCTACCTCATGTGTCCTACCCAACTTTGAAAGGATAACTTACTCCCATTGTGAGCCCCATTAACCATGTTTGGTGTTCATGAATTTATTTAATTTAACTTCTTCTTCTTCGTTCTTAATTTTAGTGTTGGAAGGGATCCCCTCCAACACAATTAAGCGTCAATTGGTTTCAGCTCTTCTTTTTGGATTTGCTTTTTTAATTTTTAATTTAACGATACCTATAGTACTAAAATCTCTCCAATATGTTCGTAACTCTGTTTAGTGTCACCCTAAACTCAAGATCTATTCTTTGTTCTCAATTCTAAATTAACGCTTCCTTGCTCATGCAATATGTCCTTAAAACTGAATGTTTCTTTATCCCTATGTGTTCCCATATTGTCCCCAATTAAAGATGTCCTTAATGCTCTCAAATATGCTCTATATAATGTTAACTCATCAAGCATTCTCTAGGTATGAGCATCTGTATAGGATTCGTCTCAAACTTTTCAAGAAAGATCCATAGCAGTTCAAGAAGGTCTTCATCTTAAAAACCTCCCTTTAGTATAACCTAACTCATCAAGAAGAGAGCTAATGTTTTTTTGCTTTGTGTTGAATCATTGTATTATGGTGCTTAAAACTTGCATAATATTAGTCTACTGATTTGAATTTAAATTAAAAAAGAAAATGCGTTTTATGGAATTAAGGTTATATATTTTTTAAAACAATTTTTAAACCGAAGTGGAAAATAAAATTGTCGAGTCAGGGAGTTCAGTTTATAGTACGTTGTAAAAATTTTTTTTTGAAAGATGGGATCTTAATCTGGGCCTGAGTTTGCATAACGTCCCTGAGTCCACTCAGCTCTGACGGATACCTGGCTCGTATTGGGTAAAGTAAAGTAAATGCGGCTGGGCATAGTAGTGACCAGACCATTCTTTCATATGCCGAGGTAAAGAAATACATGAAATTTACTTCATCTGGCTTAGGAATCAAAATGTCTAAAAGGGAAACTGTACATACATTAGAACAGATATGAAACAATGAAAAAAAAAGGTTGATTGCTTATCGGTTTTGAATTAAACACACCACTCTTATCTTAGTTCTTGGCAGTACTGATTAAAACAGAAATAAAATAATTCGCTTATTAACGGTGTATTGTGTAGAAAGTTTACCATGATTAAATCAATATTTTGATCTCTGTATTAATGACGAAATATATAAGAACGGTTTCATGAATGCGTTACCAATCTTGTGTTCTTAGACGCTTGTCATTGTTTTCTAAAACTGAGTTATTTAAAAGTAAGCAATACCTGCGCTTGGATCATAAATATCGGGACACGGTAGTTAGGGCGGAGTCTTCTCGATAAACTGAAGCCAACAGGGATGTCTTGGGAGACTGCAAAATTAATAGCCGGGAATCGGACGAAATGGAAGGAAAGAGTAGAGACCCTATGTTCCATAAGGAGCAAAGAAGACTAAGTTAATTCAAGTCACTTGTTTATGTTACCACGATATATGAAGGGATAGTGTGGTCAGAAATATGTTCAGACGCCTTTAGTTTCCTTAACGTAAGTCAGGTACCCATCAGACCTGGGTGGACTCAAGGTCGTTCTACGGACTTGAACCCGGATTCGAACTCGAGACGTTGATTACAGCGTCCGATTACCTCCAGGTAAAATGCTTTAAAATACTTGTATTAATAACCGTTGTTTTACGAACACTGCCATTTCAATTTGAACTACAAGGCATTTTTTTAAAATACGTAAGATTTTGTATTAAAAAATTCCGTTAGCTATAAAACAAAAATAGGCTACGGGTTGCTTTTACAGAGTAACAAACTATATGCTTCGTAAAAACAAAATCAAAAAGCAACAAAAGAATGAATTAACTAATACTTTTAATGAAACAAAATAAAATTGCTTTTTATTTTTAACGAAACTTAGAAATATATATCACATACGGAAATTTTCTTTTGATAGCATACAGATGTTAATTTTAATTTAGCATGCACCTATTACACGTCTTTAATTTGTAAAAACAAGTTAATTAAAAAGTCTAGTGACATTTAAGCGCAATTTCCTTATGTTATCTAAAAATAGCTCTGTCGTAGCGTAAATCAAGAGCAGGGTTAGTAAAACCATTGGTTAGTTATTAAAACGTTTTTTATTAATTATTTTTTTCAGTATTTTACATGTTTTATTTACAATAGAGTTACATGACTAAAAACCATTGCGCGCCTAGCTACCGAACGTGATGTCGCAGCCGTTGAACGTGATGGTGCAGCTATTGAACGTGATGGCGCAGCTATTGAACGTGATGACGCGTGTGGTGTGGTTGGATAAAAATGCCTACTAATTCGGTCCAAATTTTAATTAATTCAAAAAATTTTTTGTGACCGAACGAAAGGATATTTTTGAAAACTTTTTTTCGGCAATATTGTTCTAAATTATGGCAGAAATCGATTGGTACATGTTTCAAGTCCCTAAGTGGTCTGGTTGCCGAGATATGGGCCAAAAACTGCATTTTTTCGAGGTTATTTGGCTTTTCCGGGAAATCCATGAAAGAAACCCGGAATTTTTATGGCCTATGTTCATCCTCGTAACTTGCTTAACATAATTGCTTTGGAACTAGTCCTCGATATTGCTTCGTTGGGGAGGAGATACGACTTAAAGCTGCGGACACACATTTATACATTCATCCATCCATTCATCCATCCAGAAATGACGGGTTAATAAACGCAATTCTCCAGAATGGAAATTGCGCTAAAAAAAGTACTAATGTTAAAAAGAAGAGTTGTGTGAAAAAGCTTATAGAATATAAATATTAAAAGTGCTTTTTCAAAGTACAAAAAAATAAGCATTGAAGTATCACAATAAAAAATAATAATGATTTTTTAAAATATAAATAAGTAAAATAAAGTATAATAAGCTTGCTGTTAGTATATATTTAAAGTTTCCTGGATAGTGATATTTAGTATTTTTTACGCGCCACGATATCCCTATTCACCTCTACATTCTTTCACCACTAGAGCTGATGTACCTTTACTGTTTTTTCTTGCCCATTTTCATCGCTGTTGGCATCATCATTTCCCTATGAAGACAATTAACAAATCCGATGATTGAATGTACAGATGTCCAATAATAAACTCTTCATAAAATAGGTGTGTTAGGTTGTTAGTAGTATAGTAATCTTGACTAGTTTATGATAAGAAATTAAGGTTAAGCGTCGAACAGGACTAGAGTTGGGGCTAAGGTTAGGGTTAGCATTGTCATTAGCAAGACATATTTGTATTTAGTTAACTACCAGTAACTTAGAACCCATTTTTTAAAAAAAAGTTTCTATTTTTGTGCCCTGGATTTAAAACTGGTAAAATGAATACACCAAAAAAAAATATACATTTCTTTGTTAATTAATAATAAATGCAAAATCCATTAAAAAAATAAGCAGATTCACACGTACAACCAGAGGCGTAGCGACCCTTCCCGACGCCCGGGGACAAACTTTTGATTTGCACGCCCCCTCAAACTTTTGATTTGCACCCTCCCTCCCTCAAACTTTCGATTTGCACCCTCCCCCCCTCAAACTTTCGATTTGCACCCTCCCCCCCCCCCCTCAGACTTTTGATTTGCACCCTCCCCCCCCCCCTCAAACTTTCGATTTGCACCCTCCCCCCCCCCTCAAACTTTCGATTTGCACCCTCCCCCCCTCAAACTTTCGATTTGCACCCTCCCCCCCCCTCAGACTTTCGATTACTTTTTCCAACACCTTTTTGCCGCCCCTTAAGGTCTGCGCCCGGGAACGTATGTCCCCCCCCTGCCCCCCCCCCCTCCCATCGCTACGCCTCTGCGTACAACTTTACATATAAAACAAAGCGGGAGGACAGAGACAGAGAGCTACACTGCTGTACCACACACATTTTCTACCACAGAGCCGTTGGGCTGTGTGACGTCACATCGTTGTCTCTTCTTTAAAATCTCTCCAGCAGTTGACCTGATGACGTTCCAGGCGAACGAGATATCGTCTTCTGTAGTGCGAGGTGTACACACGGCAAACCTGCGGTGTAGGAGTAAATTTTATATATATATATATTCCAGATATCTTCAGTAACCCACCCCCCCGAAAAATTTTGTCCGCCCCACCCCCGAAAATATCAACTGCCCCCCCCCCCTCCACTACAGAAATTAAATTAAAATCTTGACAAAACACTGCTTACCCTCAGCCTGAAGCAGACGAGACCCAGCGTCACCTTGGCGACGACCTCGAACCTCTCGTCTGCCGCCACTTGACCTTCAAAATATTTTCCCAGTCGCACGTGCTGTCGATACAGAAGTATGAGTAGTTCGACCGCTAACAGGAAGTACTTTTTGCGAAACACCTAATTCAAGCACCTCACATTCAATCTAAATATTTACCAATAATTTCCTTTCTAACATTTGTCTGAAACTCTTCCTTATTGCTAGTGCCTTGATAAACTCGATGACCTGGCCGACTGGATTCATGTAACCTTAGAAGACGATCCTAACACTTCTGCTCTCTTCTCTTGCCGTTATTTGTAAATTTTGTTTAAAATCAACATTCCCTTCTTAACTGTAAGATATTTTTTGTATGTAACTTCCCTTAAGCCACTCCCAAACGGCTGTATCCATTGTCTTCATACCACTACATTTCAGCCGCACCCATGATTTCATTTCAAAACATTGTCAATTATTTTTACAACCAATCGCTGAACATGTTTCAAAATATTTTCTTCAGACTCACTGCTGTAAACCACGCTAAACTTAATAAAACTATCATCTTTTTACGCCCATTTCAAACTACGCCTAAGGTTACCTCTCTGATCCTAACCTGAAGACTCTCTAGCCCAGGGGTTCCCAACCTTTTTTTTTACTCTAGAGCACATTCTAAAATATCAGTAGGGTAGCGGGCACCACCTATTTTAAATCTACAAACTCCTTCCAGAGGCGTAGCGACCCTTCCCGTCACCCGGGGACAAAACTTTCGATTTGCACCCCCCCTCAAACTTTCGATTCGCACCCCTGCTCTAGCCCGTACGTCCACCCCCCCCCCCCCATCTTAAACAACGCCTACGCTTACCTCTCTGATCCTAGCCTGACGACCCTCTAGCCCGTACGTCCACCCCCCCCCCTCCCTTAAACAACGCCTATGCTTACCTCTCTGATCCTAGCCTGAAGACCCTCCAGCCCGTACGTCCACACCCCCCCTAAACAACGCCTATGCTTACCTCTCTGATCATAGCCTGAAGACCCTCTAGCCCGTACGTCCACACCCCCCCCCCTAAACAACGCCTATGCTTACCTCTCTGATCCTAGCCTGAAGACCCTCCAGTCCGTTAGTCCACCCACCAGCCTCCCCCACCCCCACCCCCAAACAACGCCTACGCTTACCTCTCTGATCCTAGCCTGAAGACCCTCCAGCCCGTACGTCCTAATGACGAACCAAACTTTTAATGCTCGAAATCTCCGGGACAAAGGAATGCCCCAATGCTGGAGTGATAGAAATTACAATAGGCTTGAAAAGTCTATGTAATCATACTAAATATTTTTTTTAAATATGGCAAGCGATAAAATTTTAGTTACAATTTAAAAACTTAAACTTTAAAAAAAAATTAAGACTGTTTGAGAAAAGTTCATTACACTCATTTTTATATTTTTTTGTTGAATATAAGCCGTTGAAAAGCCGTTTAAAATTATTTTATCCTTTCAAATATTAAATACAATCGTCCTCAACCTCTCTTTGAAGTCAAACGGAAAGGCCAGGTACAGTAAAACAAAGAAAGATGGATCGTTAAACATTCACTACCTTGATATAAAATGGACAATTATATGTTCCCTACCTTGATATAAAATGGACAATTATATGTTCCCTACCTTGATAAAGGATGAACCATTATATGTTCTTTTACTTGATATAAGATGGACAATTATATGTTCCCTACCTTGATAAAACATGAACCATTATATGTTCCCTACCTTGATAAAAGATGAACCATTATATGTTCCTTACCTTGATAAAAGATGAACCTTTTTTTGTTCCCTACATTGATAAATGGGACGGAGTGGTCTAGTGGTAGAGAGCTGGACTGCTATCCCGTCTGTCACGAGTTCGAATCCGGGTTCAAGTCAGTAGACCGTTCCTGAGTCAACCCAACTCTGATGGGTACCTAATTTACATTACGGAAAGTAAAGGCGGCTGTGCATAGTGTTGACCACACTATCTCTCCATATGCCGAGGTCAGGTTTGAAAGGGAAACTTTACTTTACCTTGATAAAAGATGGACCTTTATATGTTTCATACTTTGATACAAGCAAAACTATTAAATGTTCACTACCTTGATATAGGATGGACAATGACATTTTCCCTATCCTGATATAAGCTGGATAATCAAATTAGTACCATCAACTTTTCCCTACCCTGATATCTAAGGACTCGTCTCCATGTTTGTGCTTGAGATACAAGGGGTCAACGGTCAAGGAGCTGGTCAGCGTCTTGGCGTTCTTTACCCTGATACATTAGAACACACTAGGTTTACCATCAAAATATAGAGCAATAGAACAATATTACAAAGAGATGTGAATAAAAACAACAATATATATATATATATATATATATATATATATATATATATATATATATATATATATAATATATATATATATATATATATATATATATATATATACATATATATATATATATATATATATATATATATATATATATATATATATATATATTATATATATATATATATATTATATATATATATATATATATATATATATATATTATATATATATATATATATATATATATATATATATATATATATATATATACATGTATATATAAAATTCTATAATTATTTTATATAATTAATAATTTACATATATATATATATATATATATCCTAATTTATAAAAGGCCATGTGCGCTCTTCTCTCTCTCTCTCTCTCTTTCTCTGTCCGCAAAAAATTTTCGCCGGACATCACGTCAGAATCGGCAGCGGTATATGGAGAACTTTTTACGGACTTTTGTTGAAAATAATATGTTAGATGTTTTAAATGTATAACCACAATTTTACTTAAAGAAGAAAAATAAAAATTAAAGGCGTATTCGAATGTAGAGAAACAGTATTATTTATGCAACCGGAAAAGCATTAATATATGTGAAAAAGAACGCATAAAACTGTGACGTCACTATTGCTTATACATTAACTAATGACGTCATCTGCCGTGTTAAGAATGAAAAGAAATGAACTATTTCATTCAAATTTGATTTAGATCTACGTACACTATGAAATGTATACAATACAATTTTTCCGGCCTAAACTCATAAAATTTATTTTATGTATTTGGATTCTAGATCTAGAGATTCTAGATCTAGACTAAATCTAAATCTAAATCTACGCAATAACTAGATCTAGACGTAGACGCTAAGATCTAGATTTAGACTCTAACTTCTCTAAAATCAATTCCAAAAATAAATGTCTATATTAGGACTAAACTATTTCAAGACTTATTTATTTTATACAAAATCTTTGTTTGGAACTGGCTAATTTGGGATAAAAAATTAATTTGAAAGAATAGGCATATTCGCGTAAGTTAAGATTTTAAAATACGTGTTTCATTCTCCGTATTTTATAAGGTGCCTAAATAGCGGAGATGTTAGTGTACATTAAACCACGCAGGTGGTGCGGGTTCGAGACACAGCAAGTCAACTTGGTTAATGTATTCTTTTTTATTATGCTCGGGCTAAATTTAAAAAAAAAATTCTTTTAGGAATCTAGATCTAGATCTAGATTGTCGGGTGTCCGATAGGGCACTTCCCGGCGCCGCAGGCGCTTCAAATTTGGCATGATCTTGCCTTGGTGCGACAGAACACGGGGGCCGGTTGGCCGAAAAGTCTACGATGTGGGGGTCAAAACTGACCTCGACTGACCGGTACCTTATATGAGCTATAAATCGAAAAAAAATGTCCACGGAGGAACCTCTTCATAACTCTTGAGGTCGTAGACCGACCTTCGGGCGAATTAATTAAGCATTCAAATTCTCAATGTTTTCGAAAGCCTAAGCGAAGCTGGGCAGCATGCCTAGTATATATATATATATATATATATATATATATATATATATATATATATATATATATATATATATATATATATATATATATATATATATATATATATATATATAAAATTCTATAATTATTTTATATAATTAATAATTTACATATATACATATATATTATAATTATATATATATATATATATATATATATATATATATATATATATATGCATAGTGTTTGTGCTTGTGTGAGTGCGTGCGTGCGTGGGTGCAAGCTGAACTTTGAAATAATTTATTCCGCCTACCTAACTATTACCAATGGAGAGTGGATGGGTTGGGCTAATTTCAATAGTAGGATTGTATACATTTAAAAAAAACTGCTGTACTAAAACGTTTAATTTATGAGCTGTACAATGGCCATAGCGCTAACAAGTCTAGCTTTTCAACTTGAAAACCCAGCAAAACAGAAGCTAAAGTGTGGTTGTAGTCTTGGATCACGCAGACGTGAATTATATTTTCTTTAAACTTGGATCGTACCAACCTCTAATGCCGTTGGAAAGACTTTGTGTTCAGTCACTAAACTTTTTTCATTCACTTTTTTCAGACACAATAATTGTATGCAACTGATTAATGAACTAGAGAATTACTTACCACATCATCGAACCATCCACGCTGACTTGAAGCAGCTTGTAGGGATTTAGACAAAACGAGTCGGCGTCCTAAAGACATAGAGAAGGAAAAGAAGGTTCGTTTCAATATTTTATTCAAGACTTTGTTACCCGGGGAAAGGCTGGGAAGGACGGACGGACGGTCACTGGTAGAAGTATATATTTTTTTATATACATTCCATTTCGTTCGTGATGGTGGGGTGGGGGGGGTGGAGGTAAACGCGGATTTTTGCCGGGACGAAGCCCCCCCCCCCCCCACTGGAAAAAAAAACTGTAGTCCGTCTTACATGTATTGTTTCTTTCAGACTTTTTTCTACGGGGGGGGGGGGCACTTGATATTTTTCGTTAAGGGGAAGGGGTGTACTAAATTTTCCGGGGAGGGGGAGAGAGGGGGGCGGACACTGTTAAAAGTATATATTTTCTATATAAATTCCATTTTGTCCGGGGTGGGGGGGGGGGGGTAAACTTATTGCGGGAATAGAATAACATTCATAGGGAATGGGGAGTAGCTGTGGTGGGATTTTATTTGGCAGGGATCGGGTATCTATATATATAATTCTCTTCTGGGATCAGTTAGAAAACAAGCTGCAAGCGCCTCCTTGCAGTCCCCTCTCTTTCTCTCTATCACTATCACTACCACCCCACCCCACCCCCACATGATCTGGTGAGCGGTGTTCACTCTGTTTACATTTTACAATCATAGAGACGGGTTTGGTGACGGCTATTAGGGGCAGATAATTTAGTTTGAAACGATTTTAAACTTAGAGGAGGTAACTTAGAGGAGGCTGCTTTCACGTGGGGGGGGGGGGGGGGGGGGTTAGTGTTTTTAAGCAAATATTTTCAACGAGCCGGCCCGCGGCATAACATACGCCGCTATTTAGTTGTTTCTAATTTTCAATAATTCATAATTTGTGAATTCGACAGTACCAACGCTGACACTGAAAATATTTCTTTAAAACACTATAAGTAGCTCGTTAAGGACCATAACCCCCCCCCCCCCTTCCTTCCCTCCCCCCTCCTCCCCCCCCCCCCCCTACGTTTACAATCGTTGGCTCTGCTTGTAAACATTTAGAGTGAACACAGCTCACTAAAACCATGTAGGGGTGGGGAGGTAGGGAGAGCGTTTGCAGCTTGTTTTCTAACGGCTCGAAAAAGAGAATTATATATATAGATGGCAGCATTGGTACTGTCGAATTCACAAATTATAAATTACTGAAAAGTAGAAAAAAAACAACTAAATAGCGGCGTATGATACGCAGCGGGTCGGCTCGTGAGCTATAATGAGGATGGGAAAGGTGGGATAATAGCACAAAACACATTACGTCTTCGTCTTCGTTCTTAACTTTGTAATATTGAAGGTGGTTTTCTCCAACATAAGTAAGTATTCCGTTTCAAACTCTCATGCGCTTTTATGACCCGTTGACTCATACTTCAGCCTGTTTTTCTTTATGTATTTGCTTCCATAACTTATATCTATTGGGGAAAAATCTGAAAGACAGCAGTGCTTAATTTTGGAGTAGCCTCGCTTTGGTTGGATGCTGTTCAAAGCCAGCGAGTCGTTTCTGTACGCGGGTCCGTTCTCTTAACATTTTTTGAACGTTAGTTGACATTTGGATTGGATAGGGGGGGAATGAGGGGGTGGGGGTGGAAAGAGGTGACATCTCCTACACTCCACCTAACTACGCCAATGTAACTTCCCCATTCATAACAAATACAATCACCTCCACACCAGACATAAAGTGCTGAAATTCCGGACAGACGAAAGCTCCCCCTGCGTACGCCGCGTCTATGTGCAGGTAGACGCCATGTCTGGTGCACACCTCCCCCACCTCTTGCAGGTTGTCAAACGAGCCGCAGGTTGTCGTGCCCAGGGAGGCGCAAACCTGCAACAAATCAAAGGTGTGAACATAGCTTAAGTTGTGGTTTTACTAATGAAACAAAAACTAATAAAAAATTGTATGGAAATGTATTAATGTGTAACTATACTGAAGCAACAAGACTAGGAAAGTGAAAAGCCGGTTTTTGTAGGATTTAATGCTGATAGCGCCTTATTTCATCGTTAGAAATAACGTGATTTGTGTTTGTGTTTTAATTAGCAGGCAGATAATGGAGAAAAACAGACGATAAAACATTGTAGACTAAAATTTAACTTACAAAAAATGGCACCAGACCAAGTTGTATGTCTTCCTATTAAAAAAAACAAACAAATTAGAATGTTACAAAATGGTTACTGTTACAAAATTATACAAACAGTAACAAATGTTTTTGCTCACAGATTCAATTTTTAGCGTTCATAATTTACTCTACTATTTAGTACGATGTAAGTGACTATCCATTTGATACGTCCACACTTTTTAAAACTTCAGACTCCCCCCTTCCACACGCTGTCCACTTTACTCTCCTCCTCCCCCACGTCCAATCCACTTGCTTACATAAAGGTCAATTATTCCGGACCCTCCCACCCCCCCCCCTAATGTTAATGTCATTAATGGATGACCACCAATGTAGCTTATAGATGATTAAATTGTGTAATTAAATCGGATATTGTTCACAGAAATGTGACACAATGCTGAAAGCAGCTTCTAAATTTAAAAAACATAATTATAAATTACATTTTTAGGGAACCACAAAATTAATGCCAATCAACGAAAATTAAAATACTTTTGTTTTTCAAGTTGTAATTAAATTTAATAGGGGGTTCTGTCAAGTTAGGTTATAATTATATTTCATTTTTGAAGATTCAATTAAATTTGCGGGTGGGGGGGGGGGGAGTGACCATGTACAGACTGACCTGCATGGCTTTCTCCAACACATCGCCCCTGAGTGAGAAGTTCTCGTCATGCTCCAGTTGTCTCAGCTTGACAAACCCGATCAGCGCCGCCTTCTCCACGCATGAGTGAGCCTGGAAAGATTCGAATTTTTAAACCGGTAAACTGGGTCGCTCTTATGTACTTCAACATAGCTTTTTGGTTTGTTTGTAATCAAGTTCTGCTATATTATACACTGTCGAAGGAGGCGATATCATTTAATATTCGCAAAAATGCAGTTCGTATAAGGCACAGTAGTATTGTCCGAATTTCAAATTTTACTTAAAAAATTGTTATAGATAATTTTAAATAAGTGTTATAACCGACTGAAACTCCGGTTTATAATTTAGTTTAACATCATTTTAAATAACTCTTGAAAATAGGGTAAAAATTGGTTGTTTGTAGGTGGATTATTTAAAAAGTTACAATAATTTTACTTTACAAAAATAGAATACGAGAGCTGATAGCTATGATATAATAGGGCTGGTAAGTAGGTCATCAACCAGTTCTACGGCTCAATTAAACCTTCATGAGAAATAGAACTGGTTGGTGACCTACTTACCAGCCCTATTGATGCACCTTTGTTTATTAAGTACAAGCAACATTTTGGTAAGTTTTTTGAAAGCGAAATGTTTTAAGCACATTTCTAGAATTAAGACCGATATTCTAATTTTGATTTCGGCTAATCTCTTTTTTTTTCAGAATTTTCAGTTTACTGTAAGTACACTTTAAGTGTAGAAAAAAAGCCAGGTACAATAAGGATGGAAAAAAACAGGTGCAGTAATGATTTAATAAAAAGTCTAGTGACAATTTAAGCGCAATTTCCTTATGTTATCCATAACAATTTCAAATCGAGATAAATCATATATTCAGCAAATAAATAATGCAACACAAGTAGTTTTAATAATTCAAAACAAAATAGAAAAAATATTTATTAACGAGATCGAAAAAAAATTGCGAACGTGTAGGGGGTATTTAGTTGTCGCGCTCTCTATATTGCTTTATAGTACTGTAGTGTATTATGTATAATGTAATTTTTAAATTTTTTTTGTGACCAAACGAAAGGATATTTTTGAAAACTTTCTTCGGCATTATTGTTCTAAATTATGACAGAAATCGATTGGTAAATGTTTCAAGTCGCTAAGTGGTCTGGTTGCCGAGATATGGGCCAAAAACTACATTTTTTCGAGGTTTTTTGGCTTTTCCGGGAAATCCAGGAAGGAATTCCGGGAATTTTTTTGGCCCACAATCATCCTCGGAACTTGCTTAAAATATTTGCTTTGGAACTAGTCCTCGATATTGCTTCGTTGATGAGGAGATACGACTTAAAGGCTGCGGACACACATCCATACATTCATCCATCCATTCATCCATCCAGAAATGACGCATTATTAAACGCAATTTTCCTTTTTTTGAAATTGCGCTAAAAAAACAGGTGCAGTAATGATGAAAAAAATTATTTCAGGCCAGGATGTCCGAGGGCCAGATGAAGTAGAGTTGATATGTAGCTGAGTGTTTTGCTTTGATAAGACAGTGAGTTCAGCTCTAGGCTCACCCGCCTTTAAAAAAAGCAATGAATCCTCTTCAGACCTAACGATCCATTGGACCGATGGTGTAGACCTCGACATATGGAGGGGAAGGTGTGGTCAGCACTTTGCCCAGCCGCCTTTACTTTCCCTAAAATACCTGTTCGTGTTAGCAGCCTATCGCTCTACTATTAAGGCCACGCCGTCCTCTTCTTCTTCTTCGTTCTTAATTTTTAGTTGTTGGAAGGGATCGAGCCTTATTTGCCAGAGGTTTTGAACTCGAGACTTTTTTTCGAATTTATCAACCATGAGCTTTTGCCGACTCGACCACGCCTCCATCAAAATTAAGGAACGTGTCAACTGGTTATGCGTCGTTGAGGCAATTGACTCCGATTTCAGCCTGCTCTTTTTTTGGATTTGCTTCCGTAGCCTTTGTCCAACCAAGAACAATCTACAAGGCAGCAGTTGTTTGATTTTGGAGTTGTCTCTCCTAGAAGAGCGGGTGTCCCCAGCTAACGAGCCTCATCTTTGAACTCGAGACTTTTCGGTTTAGCAACCATGAGCTTTACCGACTCGACCACGCCGATCCCGCCACGCCGTCCCAATCACCCGCCTTTACTTTTCCGATATAACCAAAATCCGACTTGGTTAGAATCGGCGACATCCTGCCCGTGTATGGAACTCAAAAAGTACCGATGTGTAGAGTACAGCGACCAACCAGTTTGGAGCTGTAGGCGACAAGTTTAGAGAGCAGCTCCACGTTATCCCTGTGGGGGTGGGTGGTCTTGAGCCCCTGGATGGTCCGGTGTCTGGCTGACAGTAGGGCGACTAGCACGCACTCACTGGCTGACCCCTGGGGGAGAAGGAGGGTTTGTTACATAAGTAATGTTCGTCTTCCAAACCTGACGGTCTTTTGGGCAAGTGGAGTAGAGTTCACCTGTTTCTTTGACCTCGGCATATGAAGGGATAGTGTTGTCCTCACTATACCCAGCCGCCTTTACTTTCCTTAACGTGAGTTAGGTACCCATCCGAACTGGGTGGACTCGGGGATTTTCTACTGACTTGAACCCGGATTCGGGCTCGAGACTTACGAGTTAGCAATCCAGCTCTCTACCGCTAGGCTACCCAATCCCACCTGACTTTTGTAATCTTTAATCTATATAAAACCAATGTAAAAAACAATTTTAAATGACTTTACCTGTATACAACCGCCTCCTTGACCACTAGAATTCATGAAATGTTCTGGTAATCCAACCATTTTTCCTGAATACAGTAACTCATATTGTTAAAAGTACTAAAAACACTATAACATATAAATAGTAAATATTTACCACTACACGAACTGAAGACTGCAGAGATGCTTTGGGAGATTACAAAATTAATATACCGGACAAAATATAAGGCTATTGTTGAGGCCCTATGTTCCATAAGGTGCAGAGAGGATTTAGTCAAAGTCAAGACCACGACAAGCAACAGACACCTAATTAGTTTTGTTGTGAAAGTTTTTGTGACCTACCGACCCAATCCAGCACCAAATGCTCCAACTCTACTCCAGCGGGACTTGAAGCCTACACAAGGTATAAGAAAATAAAAAAAATAAAATAAGAAATATTACCATCTTAGACGTAATGATATATTGGGAAGATGTAGTAGAGTTTACATGTTTCTTGAACTCGGCATATAGACGGAGAGTGTTGTAAGAGCTATACACCCTCCTTTACTTTCCCCAACAAGGGTCAGATAGCCATCAGAGAAAGGTTGACTCAGTGAAGCCTTACAAACGTAAACACAGATGCGAGCTCGAGACGTTCTAAATGTCCTTAGTGTACATTAGGTAGAGCTTATATGATTTCTAGACCAAGGAATAAATAGTGTGTATAACTAAGAAGCCTATACTTTCACTAATGTGAGACGGGTATACAGCAGAGCTGGGATGACTCAACTACGCGCTTGCGCCTTAAGTCCGGGATCCGAACACAAGACATTTAAGTTTGAATGTTTATGTTCTTACTTCCGACTAACCTTTCAATATATTTTAAATAAGTCAGTAACCCCACCCCCAAATCACACTCACTGCCTTACACCCCCCCCCTCGTTAGCACATTGCTCCCCAACTTACCCAAGTAACCCCACCCCCAAATCACACTCACTGCCTTACACCCCCCCCCTTTCGTTAGCACATTGCTCACCACCTTACCCAAGTAACCCCACCCCCAAATCACACTCACTGCCTTACAACCCCCTCCCCCTCGTTAGCACATTGCTCACCAACTTACCCAAGTAACCCCACCCCCAAATCACACTCACTGCCTTACACCCCCCCCTTTCGTTAGCACATTGCTCACCACCTTACCCAAGTAACCCCACCCCCAACTCACACTCACTGCCTTACAACCCCCCCCCCCCCCTGGTTAGCACATTGGTCACCACCTTACCCAAGAAAAAGGCACGCAGCCAAGACCATCCGCCAGCATGTCCGATAAAACAGCCGTGTAGGAATGACCAATGGGCAGGTACGCGTGGAAGTTTGGATGCTGCCAATGGACCATCTGAGAAAGTGATACATTTTTGTCTAAAATCTTCCAAATTCACGTTCATATTAGATAAGTAAAAAAGTGAAGTTCCATTTTCAAACCTGACGGTCTATAGAGCAACTGAAGTAGAGTTCACTTGTTTCTGTGACCTCGGCATATGAAGAGATAGTGTGGTCAGCACTTTGTTCAGCCACCTTTACTTTCCATAACGTCAGTTAGGTACCCAACAGAGCAGGGTGGACTCAGGGACGGCTTATGACTTAAACCCTGATACGAACTCGAGACTTACGGGTTAGCAGTCTAGCTCTCTACCGCTAGACCACTCCGTCTCCCTCATATTATATACAGACCATAAATTAATTGAAGCGCTCTGGAAGTACCCCTGCGATGATTTTTTTCCATCTGAATTGTAAGCTTAAAGGAGAATTTCTCAACACAACCACGTATTACAAGCGACTTTTTTATGTGCCATTGACTTCGATTTTAGCCAGCTTTATTTTCTGGATGTGCTTTCATATCCTCAGTCTACCAAGGTCAATCTGCAGTAGTTTAGATTTTGGAGTTTTCTTTACTGGATAGTAGTGAGTCTCATTTGCCCGCGGTCTCAAGATGAGACTAGGAATTAGCTATCACACGCTCTCTTTCCTCGTTCACACTTCAATATTTTGATAAGCGTTAGTTAGGGATCGGTGTGGTCGAGTCGGTAAAGCTCATGGTTGCTAAACCAAAAAGTCTCGGGCAGATGAGGCTCGTTAGCTAGGGACAGCCACTCTTCTAGGAGAGACAACCCCAAAGTCAAACAACAGCTGCCTTGTAGTTTGTTCTTGGTTGGACAAGGCTATGGAAGCAAATCCAAATAGAAAGCAGGCTGAAATCGGAGTCAATGGCCTCAATGGCGCATAACCAGTTGACACATATCCTTAATTAAGAACGAGAAAAAGAATAAGCGTTACATATTTATTGACCTTAAAAAATCGATATCAGAAAAAGATCAACTTTAGATCTACTTTCTAATCGATCGATTAATTAAATACTCGAATATTCAGAAATACACTCGAATTAGTTACAATTTAAGAACACAATTAAATCGGCATTTGAAACAAATCAATTTTAAAATGCATTATCATCTAAAATATGTAGAAATCTGAAATTCATTGGCCCTTTAAAAATCAATTGAAATATATCAGTATTAGAAAACGGACATTTGAATTCAATTGAAGGATGCAACACACTATAAAGTACCGAAGTAAATTAAATCATTACGGGTGTTTTTAACTAAATGGTCAGCAACTTCATATACCCAAAACAAAAATACATAGGCATTTTAAAACTTCCAAAATAGTATATTAAAACGAAATCAATTAGGAAACAACAAAATGTAATAACCCCTGGCATAATGGCCTTCTCGAAGTCATCCATAATGGATTCCCATTTCTCTCCCTTTTCCGGGGCGTTTTCCGGAAGTAATTTCCTTAAATAGCCGATCTCCACATCCGGCAGGACTTTCTTGGACCGGATGTTGTCCATATAGTCAGCGATGAAGTCCATCACCTCAGCTCCTCTTCTTTTAAACTCTGGCGTGTCCATTTGTTTTTCTGGTTTAAAGATAATGTTTATTTCTTGTTTAATATTAGTTAGAAAAGTTGTTCGGCTATCACAAACAAAAAAGGCATTCTACATTGTCTGTATATATTTCATATTAAATTTGATCATTGTAGTTTTAATTTAAGTTCTTAAAATTTGAAATCTGTAAAGTGATGCGTTGGTTTTATATGGCCAATATTAAATAGATTTTAAAATAATTAATGGTACAATTACAATAATGATGTGTTGATTTTATATGGCCAATATTAAATAGATTTTTAAAAAATTAATGGTACAATTACAATAATGATGCGTTGGTTTTATATGGCCAATATTAAATAGATTTTTAAAAAAAATAATGATACAATTACAATAATGATAAAAACAAGATGGCAGTCGACAATAAAAAGCCGTAAAAACAAAACCAGAGGGGCCTTGAACTAGATACGGAATTGGAAGACAAGAATCTTCAATACATTTGTTGAGTCTCTGTGTCTAGGAGACATGAAGTGTTACAAAGGCAAATACAGACAGGCTACAGTCGTTCACAAACAGATATTTACGACAGACCCTCAGACAGTGTTTCTTCCAGACTTTTTTCTCCGGGGGGGGGGGGGGGGGCACTTTTTTGAAAGTGTGGACTAAAATTTTCGGTGGGGTGGACACTGTTAAAAGTGAATATTTTCTATATAAATTCCATTTCGTCGTCCCCCCCCTCCCCCCGAAGAGATGGCTGGAAGAATAAACTCTGCCTTCAAAATAAGATTGCACGACAAAATGTAAAAAAAAAAGACCTGTGGCAAAACACAAACCAACAGATTAGGACATCAAAGTAAATCGATATGGATTTGACCTACTCTGGGAAGGTAAGAAGATAACATCGTGAAAAAAGCTTTGGGCTAGAATCCCCGTGAAAGAAGGCAAGGAAAACGCCTAGGAAATCATGGAGAAGAACGGTAGAGTAAGATGAAAAACACCGCTGGGCTCACGTGGATACAGATAAGGGGAGCGGGCCAAAACTGAGTCGGTGGAGAGGCGTGAATGCAGCCGTTTACTCCACAGTGGTACAAAAAAAGGAATGAGCCTTGTACATTAGTAAAATAACACTTTTGAAGGGATAGACTACGAAAAAACCCACAAAAACACTTCTTAATTAATAAACTTTATTATTTAAGTGTGTGTATCTAAGTAATGGTACTAAAAGGACAAAAAGTGCAAGTATATGAAACTCTTCTGAAAACTATAGTTGCCATATATATATTTATTTATATTTATATATATTTATATATGTATACAATATTATATATATATATATATATATATATATATATATATATATATATATATATATATATATATATATATATATATATATATATATATAAATCAATTAATTTCAATCGTATTTCATAAACCAAATTTTAAGAATTTTAAGAATATACATACCTAAATTACATACACACAAACAAATTAGTAAGTATAATAAAAAAAATTTAAATTGTTTTTTTCCTGATCCTAACCCCTTTAATTATAAAATATAACTGGATATCACAATAAATATATCATTAAATAAATCATACTCTAACATTTGCCTAAAAATCTTAATAAATGAATTGGTAAACAAATACAATGCAATATGTATTAAAATATTGTAATGTGTTATAGGTATTAATTAAATGCGATAAACTTTTATAAAATATTGGAGAGTTTTCCTTACCAATGTTATGTTTAAAAGTTTCACAAATAATTTAATATCAGGCAATACTTAACATTTGAAACAATTTGATAAATCAGGTAACTGAATTTATATTTATAAAGAATACTTTACGGAAAAGGAAACACTAAGAGAATGAAAGTGTTGGAAGGTTTATTTTATATACCTGCTCTGTGAGGTGAATGGTGACGTCACGGGCGAATGTAGTTTTAAGTCTAGACAGTGGCGTGACTAGGTTGGGTATCAACCCTTCAAAGGAAAAAAGTATATGATATGTATATAAGTTTATATATATATATATATATATATATATATATATATATATATATATATATATATATATATATATATATATATATGTAAACAAATATTGATTTATTTATTGCTTTAAAGGGTTCACAGTAAATAGTAAAATTGTTTACCTGTAGTCGGTTATTAATATAGCTTGATGTAATACTATTTTCTCTTTAGCTAGGTTTATATCATAGTTAACCCCCCCACCCCTTTTCCCTCATCCTTTTCGAGATCGTCAGTTTGTACCAAAAATAATTTTTTAACTAATTAATCATTCATTGAACAGGCAAAAAGCTTATTTGGTCTTCATATTTTGTAATATTATTTTGTCTTGGTATCAACCCCTTAAATGGTGTCACCCGGTGCGATCCGCACCCCGCGCCCCCGCCCTCGCTACGCCTCTGAGTCTAGCCACTCACCGTCAGTTATGACACATATCTGCACAGGTGTTTGCCAAATGTAAAATTTTAAAAGTGTTGACAGAAAGCCCATAAAGCAGCACGCCTGTTAATGCGTTGTACTGAACTAATTACACAACCGCAAAGTGTTTTGGAAATGAAGTGCCTGTCGCAACATTGGTCACGTGAGTGTATATGAAAAACATCATTAAAAAGTTTCATGTTTGTTATTAAATGAATGGCACGATGTCTTTACATATGAAATATGAAATATGAAATATGAAATATGAAATATGAAATATGAAATATGAAATATGAAATATGAAATATGAAATATGAAATATGAAATATGAAATATGAAATATGAAATATGAAATATGAAATATGAAATATGAAATATGAAATATGAAATATGAAATATGAAATATGAAATATGAAATATGAAATATAAAATATGAAATATGAAATATGAAATATGAAATATGAAATATGAAATATAAAATATGAAATATGAAATATGAAATATGAAATATGAAATATGAAATATGAAATATGAAATATGAAATATGAAATATGAAATATGAAATATGAAATATGAAATATGAAATATGAAATATGAAATATGAAATATGAAATATGAAATATGAAATATGAAATATGAAATATGAAATATGAAATATGAAATATGAAATATGAAATATGAAATATGAAATATGAAATATGAAATATGAAATATGAAATATGAAATATGAAATATGAAATATGAAATATGAAATATGAAATATGAAATATGAAATATGAAATATGAAATATGAAATATGAAATATGAAATATGAAATATGAAATATGAAATATGAAATATGAAATATGAAATATGAAATATGAAATATGAAATATGAAATATGAAATATGAAATATGAAATATGAAATATGAAATATGAAATATGAAATATGAAATATGAAATATGAAATATGAAATATGAAATATGAAATATGAAATATGAAATATGAAATATGAAATATGAAATATGAAATATGAAATATGAAATATGAAATATGAAATATGAAATATGAAATATGAAATATGAAATATGAAATATGAAATAAGAAATATGAAATATGAAATATGAAATATGAAATATGAAATATGAAATATGAAATATGAAATATGAAATATGAAATATGAAATATGAAATATGAAATATGAAATATGAAATATGAAATATGAAATATGAAATATGAAATATGAAATATGAAATATGAAATATGAAATATGAAATATGAAATATGAAATATGAAATATGAAATATGAAATATGAAATATGAAATATGAAATATGAAATATGAAATATGAAATATGAAATATGAAATATGAAATATGAAATATGAAATATGAAATATGAAATATGAAATATGAAATATGAAATATGAAATATGAAATATGAAATATGAAATATGAAATATGAAATATGAAATATGAAATATGAAATATCTTTATGAGCGTATGTGTGTAGGTAGGTGAATATAGAATATATACTAGCCGTCCCGGCCAGACCATGCACTGGCATCTCTGAAAAACCTATCTGTCAAAGACCATGACTTGTGTGTTTATTAATCAGCATTTTCCCCGGCATTATTTGGATTTAGGAAATATATTATTTTCGAATTAACCCTAACCACAACCAACACGAAAAATGCAAATATTACACTATGAAGATGAAGTCTATTATTTTCTTATATTCCTTTGGTATCGAGGATCCGCGTTCAGCAGTCCGTCACAGAATTGAACTTTATGTATTATATATATATATATATATATATATATATATATATATATATATATATATATATATATATATATATATATATATATATATATATGTATATATATATATATATGTATATATATTTATATCGGAATTTTTTCATAGAGATCAGTTAACAATGCTTATGCCGGCAAGAGAGAATGAGCATGTGGATATAAAAATGTAAGCGAAATTTTGCTTGCTGTGTGATTATAAAGATTATCTGCTCCGCACTCTAAATCTTATAGCTAGTCTACAGTTTAAGAATTATTATAATAATTTCTAGACTTTGCGAGAGTGTTTACTCTCTTGCTTACTAACCTACAGCCCGTCACCCTTACTGGGTATCAGCCACCAGCAAATCCATAATCATGTATCGTGAGTCTTTCAATAGAGTTGTCGACCTCTAGTTCACTTCACTACGTTGTGCTTGGAAAGACTTTCCTTAGCTCGCCTCTGTAGGTTTTACTTAAGAGCTACTCTGCTGACGCTTCTTGATGATTTTCGTAAAGTGTTCCATATCCAGCACCATCTTCAATTCCTTATTTCTTTCTCTGACTTCAGCAGCTGTTAATAGATGCTTACACTTCCCCTAAGGTAGTTTTAACTCTAATGAAGCATAAATATCAGTATTATATCCAAGTCGATAAAGTATTTATATATTTTTTGTATTAAAGAAGGGTCCAACTCATCCCAATTCTGAGATGTAAATTTGTACATTAAAGTTCATTTTGCTCTAATTAATCTGGAAAGGCGTAGCTTTTTAATATATTAACATTTTTTGCCATGGTG